GAGGGGCAGGAAGCATATTCCAGCTGGCAGGCTTTTCACTGATCACCAGATGTTACTGATCACCAGATGTTTACTCAAAACAATGTGGGAAACTTCCACAGCAGCAGCTGAAAACTGTTGATTCCAGGTAACATTCCATGCAATACAGGAGTGCCTCTGCTGCCATAAAGGATGTCATCTGGTGACTGTCCCCAGGTAACTTTATGGCATCTATCCTTCCAAACATGATCATTCTGTAGCTGCCATCATCTATCCATTGAGGAGTGCACATATCTGAGGCACACAGTGAGAGCTCTGAAGAAACAAGTAGCTCTCTAAACCCATCATCATATACCACCAGAAAGAAAATATTCTTCTTGCTTTAGTTATTTGAGAAAATAGAGGAAAGAAGAAAAGGTTCTTTGTTTTAAAGAAAATTTTAAAATATTTTTCTTAAGTAAATTTTAAATGAAGTTGCATAATTACCAGTTTTAAGTATCATTTTAAAATTAATATAAACTGAAAAAAAAAAAGTGAAACCTAAACAGAGAAAAATAATTTGTTTCCTTCTTGATTTTTGTTTCCAAAACACCTCGATACAAACTCAAAAGTTAAGAAAAAAATCATTCTCTTATGTTATTTTCATGAAAAATATTATATGAAGGGCAAAAATATTCTTCAGTTTAGCTAGCTTATTTATTTTGGAAACATATTTTAAAAAAAATCCATAAATAACAAATTTTTCAAAAAAACTTGTTGCAGAGACTAGAACTTCTAAATGTAAAATTATCATAAACAAAAACAGCTCTAAAGATGTTGAGTAAGTGTTTTGTAACAGTAGCTATAGCCAGACACTATGTTTTCATGAAATTAATGAAATTATGTAACATTTTCCACCAATTAAACTATTAAAATAAAAAAGTCAAGAAAGGAGTGAGTATATAATTCTACTTTTCCTGGATTTCACGTAGAGTAGCTGTTTTCCTCTATAAACAGAGGCAACAAAATTTAAAATTATCCTGTTTACATCTATCCCAAATGCAAAGCCTAAGCGTTTACAGGATCTACTTGCCTACAGGAGCAACAATTTTGGAGTGTGTGCCTGGGCAGCTCTGTAACTGTAGCACCCTCTGCTGCTCTTTTAGTTCTAAAACATATAATTGTACACTCAGCCAAGTAGAAAATAAAATTAGTATGTGTTGAACATGTTGTTTCTTGAAATTATTAACTAATGCTATGTGCAGTTTACAAGAAAATGTTTTGCTATTACATATAGTATATTTTCAATTTTATACTATTTGAGCATTCTGGAATATCTTGTTTCTGTGATAACATCAGACAAAAGCCTGCTAGATGAACATTCAAAAATATGCTGTATTTCACTTATTAAAATTCTCCTTTACACAGCCTGTAGCTTGCTTAGATTGGGGGCATATAGTAAAGAGGTTTCCATTTTGGCCCTTTTCATTTCACTTAATCTAAATGTTTACATAATCTGCAATGATTGTTTTCTGGGATAGAGTCATAAGCACTTCAGTTATAACTGCTTTCTCACACTTGGAAAGGCAAGGGAAGGAGACACTCTCAAAAGCTCATCCTTGCAGAATTTTCCTTAATTTTTGGATGATTTCTTCTGCCAGGATGAGCATGCGGTTCCAGGGGCCAACTGATGCTATCCCATAATGCCACCACCAAACCCTCTGCCTGGGATCCATCAGTTCTTTTAAAGGACTGTCTCAGGACCAGAGATGGTGTCAGGTTGTACCCCCTTTTTAACAGCTGGCATATTGTTGTCTAAAACGAACAGACTGATCCTTTCCTTCATTCCAGTCCTTTTTTCCCTGCCTCCTGTTTATGCATAGAATTAAAGCTGAAGGAAGTACATTTAGCACTGCATCCTGTCTGTGTGGAGAATTCATTTAGAGTTTTCATGTGGAAACCACTCTCCCACAAAGGATGAGCAGAGAGAAAAAAACTTCCACATTTTTCTGACAAAGTGAAAACCCATTGCAACTTGCAATGTGAATTTTCATTCACAATGGCAATCCTGCAGCGCAAATGCATCTTCAGAAATCTTTTAAAAACAGACAGAATACAAGTGTAGGTATACAAATACAAAGTTTGAAAAAGCCATTGTGCAGAGGCAATTTTCAAAGTTAACAATTGAGACCCTGCAATACACCACTGACAGCTACTGCAGCTGGCTCCCCTTTTATCTAGAAGTCTTTCTGGTGTACGGCAGCATTTTTGGAAGCAATCACAAGTACTCCTCAAAAGCTGCTTATGGATATTTTATATAATGCTGCCAGCTAGTGGCACATCTTGTACTGACTTGATACCTACTGGGAGTATGGAGACAGTGGTATTAACTGGGGTCTGCTCTACCACTTCTCTTTTGATGGCATACAGTGATGTGGCTGTCAAAAACCATAAGCACAGAGATCAGCAGGGCAAACAGAAATACCATAGAAACAGACCCTGAAAGAGTTTGTTTTAACATAAAGTACTCACTAGAAGAAACAAAAAAACTCCCCCCAAACTACAAAAACCCTGTTATTTGAAACAAATTATTATGTTTAAAAACAAAATTAAGTTTTTACAAAAGCTAATCTGTTTCATATAAAATTATTTCATAATCTACTAACTTCTAGAAAAAACATTGATCTTGCTGGTAAGTATTCAGTATGGCAACCAAAACAAACGCCCAGAACGCAAAAACATTTCCCTGTTTTGTGGTAAGTCAGTCCAAGTCATTAAACCTTAAACTTCATTTAAGTGAAGTTTAGTGGCCAGTAAATAAATGCTAGCTATGCAGTGTGCCCCAAAAGAACATAGCACATTGAGTTCTGGCTAGCTCCATTAGTATTAAATATTAGGAGAAATAATCTGATACTGTCAAAGACTATTTCAGAAATATCTGGGGGTTTTTGAGTACACTATGATTTGATAATAAAAAGTTCTTCTAGAACACTACAGAAATTATAAAAAACAGTCAGCCTAATTTTAGAAAGACAACAGTAGTTACCTCTGGGGGTAAAAGGAGGCAACACAATACCCTCATCATTTCCACAGTGGGCTAACACAAAGAGAGTCAAGAAATACACAAGAAAAGATCAAAAAAAAGACCCAATTTGAATTAAGGGATAACGGGAGCACGCAGAAATTCCATCAGTTATGACCCAAACAGAGCAGCTCACTAAACATATGACTGGGAGAACTTCACTATGATGGTGTAGCAGGCACATAGTTATTCTGGCTTGGATACTGACAACATCTATTCCATACAGGTGGTAGCAAAAAAGTGTCATTATTGCACTCAAAGCCAGTAGTGCATGCTGCCAGAAGATAATAATTTCACAGTTATGCTAATAGAGTGTAATCTAGAGTGCATAGTAAAATAGGCATAAATCAGTAATATGTAGATCCATACAGACAGACACTTACAGACAAAGACATTTAAAAATAGGGAAGCAGTGAATCTGGAAATGACTTGGCAAACGCTGTATATAATAACACAGCATGAACCCGCAAAGCAATTCTGAATCCAAAAGGACAAATGTGAATCTTTGTATAAACAGAGAAACACTGAGAACCACAAATGTCATATTCCTCCAGTTTTAGCACTGGTGGTGTGCCTATTAGAGTGTAAGTCTTGTTCTACCATCTGCAATCAATAAAAAAGTAGCTGAAATACTGCAAGAGGAGCTGACAACACATCTATCAATAGGAAAGCATACAAGAACTTTAGCAGAATAAATTCTTTGTGTTAACAAGGAAATCTGTGTAGATTGAGCACAAACTCAGTACACAAAGAACAAGAAATCTTGTAACCATATTACACTGTACTGATTCATTACCTGAAGCACATTTAGACACACACACACAAAGTATTTTCTCTGCTGTTCAAAAGAAATAGTTAAGTTATTATATAGTTCAAACTAATAGAACTAATGTTTATTCAAACATAGCTTTGGAATACTAAGACTGGAAATTTGAGATGAAACATATATATCAAAACAGTTCTATATCATTGGCTTGAGGGGGGGGGGGGGAAATATGTGTATATTTCTTTAACATCTGGCAAACTTTACCAACTTTATTCTATCAGTTTTCTTCTTTGAAAACAAACAAATCAACCTGAAAGATAAGGCAGAATAACCAAACAACAATTATATGTATATCTCTAAACGTTAATTATATAATAGTAATTACTCATCACATCAAAAATGTTTCAATGTTGGCTCAGCTTTGTTTCCACCACCTACCACAATTTGATAATTCAAGTCCATTAATAGCATAGATAATTTTATTAATAAGTATACTGAAGCAGAGCCATACTGGGTCAGACATTGATAGCCCACTTAGAGCTCATCTTGCCTCAGGTTAATGCAGCCAGTAACTGATGCTTAGACAAGAGTGAAAGATCAGGACAAACATATCATCCCACTGCCCCATTAATTCTCCTAACACCCAGCACTTCCTAAGCCATAAGTGATGTCTGTATATTTAATAGTCACAGTAAATTTTTCTTGCACAATTTTTCCCCCTTTTTGAATTTATTTCATGTTTTAGGATCCAAAACATTCTGTAGGGAGGAATTTCACAACTTGACTGAGTGCTTTCTTTTGTGTTTCTCTGGTTCAAGTTTGTTCTGTCCAAGCTAGAAGTACCCCTGATTGCTTCCCATGTTCCTGCACTGCTGTTCCTCAGAGAGACACTGCTGGCCCCTGGCCAACACAAATCAATGGGCTAAACTAATGTTTTATCCACTCCAGTCCAGTTGCTCTAATGTTCCCACCATAGCCACAACAAAAAATAACCTGCACTGGGAGAACTTAAGGGTGTATCCAACACAAACAATGGTGCTACATAAAACTGTAATGCTATGGTAACCCTGACCACAGTAATGCAGTTTCCCAGCTAAATTAAATGGTTATTGAGGGCTCGTACAGAAATGTTTTATATTGGTGCAGTTAAACTCCTATCAACATAGTACTGTACTTAAATAAACAGTGACTTACAGACATTCCCCGTGTTGTCAAAACTTGTAAGAACATCTTTAACATTTAACAGGCCATTGTGAAATCTGGAAGAAAACAAAAAAAGCAACTTTACTAATACATAAACCATCAAAAAAACCCCATCTTCAAAAAAGAGATTTACTGTATGCATTCACTTCTCACCATCCTCTTTCACAGTGAAGCAGCAAATAGGTACTACTGTAGCCACCAGGGGGAAAACAAGGGGACATTCACCAGTCCTCAAAGTCCCAGCACTGAAATCCATTAATCAGGAAGATTGTGTTTCTCAGAAACTACTATCAGGAGGAAAACATTACCAAGGAGCATCAATTTTTATTTAGTTGTGGAAGTTACATAGAAGAAAGGAGGAACTTTGGTAAATTGATTTCTTTGAAAGGGAAAATCCATGAAGTATTTTTGAACAGCAGCTGTATGCACATTCCTATTTTCTCCCACAAAATCAAGAACACTTAATTAAGTGAATGCCAATTAATGTGTTCAGTTAACTGTATTTTTTTTGGTTTTACATTTGCATAACCCGTGTGAAATGAACATTCATAAGTGGGGATAATAAATAAATTACCTAAATTTCATACACCACCTGCGAATTTTAGAATGCAGTGAGCAAAACACTGACAGCAGCAGAAAGAATAAGCACCAAAACTGAATAAAAATTCACCTAAGATTTGCCTTCAAATGGGAAGTGGTAGACAGATTAAAAAGCATCTAATTTTGTTTTAAATATTCCAAACTAATCTAAGCCCAAAATGAACAAAATATTAGTCTCACACTTTACAACAATCAGATCACACAGCTGTTTCACAAATGCATGACAGAAAATCTAGAAGGAATTCAGCAAGGCAGAAAAATATGAAAAGATAGGGTTTTAATAATGTTTCAAATATAGCTTCTAAGGCTGTTTGGGAACACATTAATTTGAAATACTAAAAAAAAATGCAATAAATCCCAGAATTTTAGCACCTACACAATTAGTTCTCATTCTCTCAGCTGTTCTTTCCTGAAGAAAGACTGCTGTAAGAATGGGGGGAAAAAAAATCAATCATTCTGCAAACATGAAATTGCATAATTATTGTGAAAAGCCCACTATTTATAGCTTCTGATAAGCATAAGCATTAAATAAATAAATATTAACAAGTTAAATTTTGAGAAGCACCAAACAGCAACTAGACTAATTCTTAAAAAATGAAAATCAAATGGAAATCAAATTAACAAACTGAACTGAGCACATCAAAAGCCACAAAGAACTAATGAGAGATGTTACAAAAGATTCAACTGGACATGAGTGCTCTTCTCCCAGGTACACAAAACCAAACCAAAATTAATTGCCTTCTCTGCAGAGGAAGTCTACAAGAATGCTGATGGATCATATGGATTTTTAATGTACTTCTTTTTTGCAAGTTTGTTTTCCATCGAATTGGACAGCTGGTGCAAGGGAAGTTACATAAGGAGATAGGTTTGGTAGTTCTGCCAGCCACAGAGCTGCCCTTTAAACTCTCCCCTGCTGACTCCTGAGAACCCTATAAACTCTAACTCTGCCTATGTCTGGGGCTGGTGGGGGCTCTTACACAACTGTGAATGTCTCATCTCTAAATGAATGCAAATGGAGGGTGGGAGATGCTGAGGAAGTAAAGAAATATTTTAATCTCTGTTGGTATGCAGGGTAATCTTGGGATAACATGTTTTGGTTTCTTTTTTTCACCCCCTCAATTTCTTTATGTACATAGTTCATATCTAAAGGAGATTTATCATGTAACTCCCCAAGTGAAACAAACAAAGGTAAGGATAAAAATTTAGCAGTCTAGTACCAGTAGTTAACAGAATGAAGAAAGAAAAACAGAAGGAAGTGAAGTGTCCTGGTCTAGAAAAGAATACAATTTATATACTTCAGGGTCAAAAGGCAGGGAAACACAAAAAGGAGAAATTATAAAACCACAGCACTAGCCAAAACTGCTTAAAATTTGTGGGATCCAAAAACTGCGGAATTGAGCATAATCTCTTCCTGCAGACAAGTTTTAGGACTGAAGAAAGCAACATGCCAGCAGCTGATCTACTTGTGAAAGGGAGAACTCAGAAAAATGCACTTCCAAATGGCAACAGCCATGTTTCTCCATTGGGAGATCTGTACTTGTGGAGTATGCAGACAAACTCTGCACCAGGTATTCCCCAACTCTTCCATCACAGGCCTTACTCACAGACTTAAAGTTACATGCACCTGTAAACACAGGTGTTCTTTAACCCCAAATTCTGCCATAAATACTGCACCACTCAGTCCTGCACCTAAAAACCAGAGCCTGTAGTTTAGGATCCACTGCCCTGCACATACATGCTCAGCAGTTCTATAGCAGCTGCTGCTTCACTGTCCCATCCCCTCAGCTGCTCCTCCATCAGCAAAGCCAGAGAAAACTGCCAAGATACAGCACATCTTGTTTCCATGAGTGTCTGTCACCATCACAGCTTTCCACAGTGCAGCTGACAGAGTCTTAAGTGTCATGTGCACGGAATTATCAAAGTCAAGGAAAGGAATCAAAGAAGCTTGGGATTAAATCCCAACCCTTAAATTCCCATAAATTTCCACAAGTATCTCAAAATACAGAAGAACGTTAGCATTCAGTGCTTTAGAACATGTCATGGATGTCATACAGTTCTAAGAAGTTCAAAGCTCTGATTGCTGAGATCAACAAAGTACTTCAAAGAAGCACAGGTAAGCATCATGGAAAAAGTGAATTTTACGCTGGCGTGGGTAATCTGATTCACAGTGTTCTTATAATAAGTCTTCAAGGAACAACAGGCAACAATTTCTATGGCTGAGGCAGTGAGTAATAGAAGACAAATCTATGAACAATAAACTAATTCAACTCATGTTTCTCCTGATACAAAGCAAAGCAGAATTCCTTACTCTGAACTACAAATAAATCAACTTTGGATGAAGTCAGAGAGAGTGAGATCAGCCTTTAAATATACTAATGTTCCTTCCTCTCTAATTCAGGCAACACAAGTGGCAGACTTTTCCATGTATTTAAAAATAACTATGGATAGTACAAAAAAAAAACCCTTCAGTAGGTCCCTATTAAGGCTTGCTTTTCATCAACCATAATGAAAAAAAAGTAAGTTCCTTCTTTCCTTTTATATTATTCTTAAACTGATGATGAAAAATAACACAAGTATGTGCCTATATTAACTTTAAAAACCTACAAAATCTAAGATAGAATACATTTCCACATAATATGAAAAGGGGAAAAAAACCAAACACATCACCATAAACTATTAACCTATGTACAAATTAAAAGTATATTTGTGAAAAATGAAAGATGGGATAATGGTGAAAAATTACTGTTAAGGGTACTTCACAAAAAAGCTTGTAGTATATCACTATCAATTGTCACTGTCACTAAGAACCTCAGAGTTATCTGCAAACTTTGCTATCTATCAGATGCTCTTTCTGGGCCAGAGTATAGCAAAAACAGTGAACTCTTCTTTCATTCCAGTTCTAGATCCCAGCTTAATATGGCAAGAAATTGAAACAAAGCTTTTTTGACTACAATTCTTTTTTACAAATACACACATCTTGGGCAATATGATGGAGCAGCCAGTGCTTGACCAGTGAATACAAGAAATACATTGCCAAATCACTTTTCATCTCTTTCCTCCATTTCCAGCTCCTAGGGCCAACCCTTTATGCTGCTAAATTCACACATTGTCTCTTAGCATGCAATACATGGAAGAAAGCAAGTTTGTCATATCCACATGAATTGTCCATAAGAAGTACGCAATATTCACTGAAATTTGTTTCCCTTCACTTTTTTTAATCTCTACCCCTAAAATAAAAAGCCTTTAAAATTGAAAATATTATTAGGAGAAATATCCAAGATGAACAGCCAATAGAATTCAGTCCTATACCATCTTCTAACACAGCTTGCACAGACAAGTGGTGTCTCTGCATGCCCCTCATTTCTAAACCACAGGTCTAGAATCATCTAATAGTTTCTGTCATATTTTTATCTGCAGGTTCATTCATATTCAGAATAAAGGCACGATATCTTGCAAAGTACACTAAACACCTTTTACAAAGATTTAACCCTCCCTGTAACCTGCTGACATTGTTCCTTTCAGTTCTGTACTTTAGTATTTGAAACAGCAAATGACTGATCAATGGAAAATATTTTACCACAGAAATAACTTATTTCTGCACTGTTTTCTTAAAATGAGCCTACAATTTAAAAGCAAATCCATACCCTGAAATAGAAAACCTGAAGATATTGATTGCTCCTTTTTTAACTCAAATAAAAGAACAATTTTCCTATCTAAAAGGCAGACACCATCTCCACAGTGAGACACCGCATCTTTATGATCTGTAATCACTTCATTGCGAAAACTATTCATACAAAATTCAAATTTAAAAACACATATTCAGCACATGCATAATTTTTTTAACAGCAAAGTGAAGTACTGCCACAGTTAAGAAGAACATGAAAAAAAGCTAACAAACACACCTGAAAGTTTTGTAAATAAAACCACAGGGGAGATATGGAGACAGTGGTGCTATGTCAAGCTGCAGTGCTTGTAGCTCCCCCTGGGGATGGATGAGGAGCCAAGCGAGAGCTGATGGGTCAGGACTGAAGGGAGGGCAGGGACTGGTGATATTATAGTGGGGGTTTGCTACAGGGACACCAAGCAGATAAAACTCTCTGCAGACAGGGAGAGGAGCAGCCTTGTATTCACAGGCCCTGGTCTCCATGGGGACCTTCCACCTTCCCCATAGCTGCTGGAGAGAAAAAACACCTGGGCTTAAAAAATCCAGAAGGTTCCTGAAATGCTTCTCTGTTCAAGAGGAGCTGACAAAGAGAAGTGCTGTGCTGGACTTTGCTCTTTCCAACAGGGAGAGGCTGATGGGAAACGTGAATCTCCAAGGAAGCCTTCGCAGTCAGGACCATGAAATGGTGGAGTTTGAGATCCTAAGGGCAGTGAGAAGGGTGCACAACAAGCTTGCTACCCTGGACTTCTGGAGAGCAGACTTTGGCCTCTTCAGGGATCTGTTTGGTAGAATACCACAGGATAAAGACCTGGAGAGAAGAGGGGCCCAAGAAAGCTGGCTAATATCCAAGGATCACCTCTGGAATGATGCATCCTGAACAAGAGGAAGTCAGACAAGAAAGCCAGGAGGCCTATGTGGATGAACAAGATGCTCCTGGACAAATTCAAACACTAAAATGAAGCCTACAGAATGTGGAAGAAAAGTCAAGTAGCCTGTGAGAAATACAGAGAAATTGTCTGAGCATCCAGGGTTCAGGTCAGGAAAGATAAAGCTCAATTAGCATCATCAAGACAAGTAGGCAGTGTGTAGGAACATCAAATACAATACAAATCCAGATGAGACTAAACCAAGCAAATGAGGTTTTTGATTCTAACACAAGAAATTTCATTTTCACTGCTAACAAAACTCCACATTCACCAGACACTCCTTTTGATATCCCAGAGCTACTATGAAGCACCTTAGTACCTAAACAAACCTTGGGACCACTTTCCAGCATGTATTACAAATCTACATTTCATTAAGCACACTGGATATCATTGTTTAACCAGAAGAGTTATGGAGATTTTTAAAATGAGTCGATGATATTTCACTTCAAGGATCTAGTCAAAACAGCACCTCAATTCAGCTTAAATTTTTTAAGCTGAAAATTGCCTTATACTGGCAATTTTGGAAGATTTGTTAGGAAGAATGATGCAAAAAAATATAAACTAGTGACAGAAAAACATGGCATAAGTTCTTCTTTCTGAGATATGAATCCAGCCTGAATTTAGTTAGAGAAACAGCAAAACCAACAAACTTCAGAAAAGCACACACATGACTGGTAGTTCCTATAAAAGCTTCTACTTTCCTGACAAACTGGTCCCAAGCCCCTCTAGAGCAGTAATTCCAGCTAGGTCATAGCATATCTGAATATACAATTTTATCAGTTTTGACAGCCCTTGAACTGATACAGCTTGACCTTTATACTCTTTGCCAAAAGCCACTAACAACCTTATGAACTTTCTTAAGTATTTAGTCTCATCAAGATATTAGCTGACAACCCTTTTAACATCGAACATATGCAATGAGCTTTTTCAAGATGTTAATGCACAAAGAAAACAAATGTAGATGAAAATTCCAAAGCACTTTTGTCAAGATTTTAGAGATGCCACAGCAACATTTTTTTTCCTGACAAAAAGATATAAAAAGGTTTCCCTATTCAAGCATGCTGTTCTGGATTTACCGACTGAAGCTATTGTTAATATTATGCTCTTGTTAACTTGCTAAATTGTTTCTGCTGTTAAATATTATTATAAATAAAATTTTGCCAGTTGACAGAGAAAAACCAGGGGAAGACTGTCAGACATACAGAGAATGCTTAAGTTTCCAACATATGATCAGTTTCCAAAGATCCAGGAATGCTTACTCCAAGATTTTTTATCTTTTAGATATGTACGTTTCAGCAAGAAGAACTGTTGCTTTGTTATGTATGTTAAACTGTTAGGCTGATCCCCTAAATTACTGCTTTTGCAAAAACGGGGAAGAAACTTTATTTAACACTGACTCATGGTAAAGTCAATTTTGTTGCAGTCTATTTATACCTTGTTCCTAGCAAAACCCACAGTATTTTCTCCTTCCCTTCTTCACCTCCTGCAATATTCTGAAATAGTAAGTACACTCTATGTATTGTCACTGCCTCTATATGGAGAAGACATTTTAATATAGAAGTGTGTAAGACTAAGCAAGTTCTGATCATTATTCCTAAAACAATCAGTAATTACTATTTTTAGAGGTCACTGAATATCTTTCGGAAAGGAACAAATGCAGGGAAAACATAAAATAAAAATCCCCATCAGAAGACAATGTCCATATTGTCCTCAATATGCAGTTTTGGAAATGTGATGTGAGCCTGCTCCAGCACAGAACCTATACATTTCCACTGAACAAGATTAGAGAAACACAATAAAATAACACATAAATAAACATTCTTGTTCAAAGTCTATAGTTGAGCTGCGTTCAATTATCAATGAAACTACTATTAGGCAAATAGTACCAAATAAAATGATGGCATAGAAAGTGATGGATACAGAAGCACACAAATGCCAGAGCAGGATCAGTCTGACATTCCCTTGGCTTCTGTACTGCCAGCACAGGTGAACCTTAGCTCATCTCCTACCTTAAAACTCCAGACCAAGTAAATCAAGTGGAAGCGAGTGTTGCAAGCCATGACAGTGAACTAAAGGAGTTCAGGGTTGTATTGTAAGGGACTGCAGCCTTGTTCAGCCCAAATTCTACCTAAAAACCTTGTATTTCCTATCCCCACTGTGCCTCTGAGGACCTAGAAACAAGGAATAGGGGACACTGCACAAAGGCATTATGTAGACTGTCAGTGTTTGAATTAATCCACAGCATTCACTGGTGGTTTACAGGAAAAGTCTATACATGGAAAAACACTGCACCTACTTCTACTACAAACAACAGTTTTCCAGTGGAAAACTTTCCTTTTGAACCCTTTTAACATCCCTGATTGTAAGCCTGGAAAATGGAAAATTAGGACTTTATAAAGCTCTAAAGATTTTTGTTCTTGACTTCACATGGAGATGCAAACTTAAAATGATTTGCCTGTAGTGTTGTGGGGCTCCTTTAGTTTGCTTTGGTTTTTTCTCATTGGTTCATTTTAAAACTTTGTAAAAATGCTGCAGTTTAATAATGGTCACTTTTTTGTGTTAGATCTTAATTCCTAAGCTTCACCTTAATTTAAAGTCTCAGGTAAACAAAGATGCACTTCTTGATTTGGGCTCTCCAGAACACCTTCCACTGTGCACCTCCAGCTTCAGAGATCTAATTAGCTGCTGCAGAACAAGCATCAGTTCAGGGATTCTTAAGTTACTGTTGCAAACTTCCTGAGGCAAACCAAGTATGGTAGATACAAAACTGAACGTGGAAAAGAAGACCAAAGCAACAGAAAAGAAAAACAGAAACAAAAGCCCACAAACATTGTAATGAATGAGAGTTACAAACAAAGCTACTGAGAATTCAGTGAAATTCCTTCAGAGGGTTTTTTGGAGGGGAAGTAAGCTTTCTGTTGCTCTGTTTGTGTGCATGTGGACTTTCTAATTGTCAATTTCTTTAATAAAAATAATCTGCCTTAATATAAGATTACTTCATTAAGTATATATTATTTTGTAGGAATTTGGCTGCCGAATTACCATTGAGTTTTTTAAAAAAAGCACTAAGAAGAAAACTGAATAAAATTACCAAAAACCTTTTAGAACATTATTAATAACATCATGTCATAAAAAATTTTAAGACCATAAATAACTATGTTCAAGTTTTTTATATCCTATGTATAGCTGAAGAATGTCAAAACAGGAAGCTGTTAAAATATAAAATACATGCTCATATTTGCATTCTGTTTTAGCTACAAGCATCAGTATTTTCAGTCAAGCTCTTCCACTTCAGTGAAATGTACCAGAAAGAAGAGTCAGACAAGCTGCTTACTGTAACAAACAACTAAAAATAACATTTACCAGTTTATTTGTAAACTATGCCCTAGTTACACAAAACGGTGGAAGAACGACTAATGAGTTTTATATTTGAAGACCATTCAAGATCTTACTTAAAATTTAAATTGTGGTTACCTTAAGGAGACACTGTACTTGGGATAAAAGATGCTTCTATACTGAACCCAGGTCCCAGTTTCCTCTTCTGTACTCTGGTCTTCTGGTCCTCTTCTTGTCTGATCTTCTATTGAAAAGAGATTGAATGATGCAAACCTTCTGACAGATATTTGTTGGAGATGCACATCTTTCAAGTGCTTTTTCCTCAGAACCTTTGAAATGAAGAACAAATTAAATATTAACAATAAAACAATAAAATAACAAACCCTTTTTGAGTGAAGAGGGAAACCATAATGGATATGCTATCAGCTAGTAGTTATGAATAACAAAGTAAGTCAAGCCTGAACAAAATACAGTGGTATTATTGGTAGAGTCAAGAGATTGAGTTATGAATTATGTATTCAGTAGCTAAAGCAAATGTACTGTATTCAGAAGTTCACAAAGTTGATTTTTCAACTCAAGCTAAAGCAAACCCATGCAAAAATTAGAGGGCCAAACTGGGTTCTTCCCATCCTCTCATTTTACCAAGTTTCACAGCCCAAGCAGTGCTCTCCCCAAGCAATTTCTCTGCCACTCACTGTCCCTATAGAGGGGGGAAAAAGGTCAACAACAATCTTTTTTAGAATTAAAATGACAAACCCAAAACGTGATCATCAGGTGCCAGAGTGCTGTGTGTTCCCCTGACAAGATTCCTTCCTAGCCTAGAAATCTTCTGCTGCACACTGGCAGAGATGCTGCCAAAGTTGCCTAAGATGAGAAAATTGCTTCCTATCCCAGGCCCCAGACTTTCAGACACCACAACTGTATATTCCCCAACCAGACCCCCACAAGGGGACTGACATATGAGCCAGACTTCAGGTGAGCCCCAAAACACTCTGAGAGCACCAAGTTCAGTGCTAAGAGACTGAAGAATTCAAGGCAGAGACAGAGACAGAATGTCATCCGCATTTCTTAAATGATTAAAACACTTGTTCAGGAAAGTGAAAACGTGGGCTCTCTGTCCTGCCTAGTCTGCTGCACTCAGCCATCTTCAGGGAGTGAGGTATCAACCCCTCTGTGTAGGAGAACCCAGCACTCAGCTGCTTGAGCTGTGCCATTGCTCAGAAGACAGCCAGCATTTCCCTGCCAGACAAAAAGATTTATTTCTAAGGGCTGTGATGTGGAAGGAAAGGTGTCCTAGATTTAACTTCTTTCTCCTAACATTGGAGAGAATACATAAATAATTGCCATTGCATTTTTAAAATTAAGGTGCATATGCAGTCCCCATTGATGGATTAAAAACAAAACAAAACAAAAACAACAGAGCAGAAAATAACCTCATGCCTATAAATTGATAGGGGTGCAAGGAAGAGCTTCATTGAGTAGGACAGCAGTGCAATTTACAAGTTTTTGTCACCTAGAGATAAATCAAATGAGAAACTCTCCAGAATTATGAAACTTGAAATAGAAGCTTTGCATACAGGATGTGTACAAAAAAAAAAGAGTCAGTGATTTTTTTGCTGTACCCAACCATGCTTTAACTGAAAATGTACTCATGTACTCCCATTTAAAAACCTTACAGTTTGGGGCCATGACCAAACTGTCATTATTATTATTTTGCAGGATGTTTGGAAGTACTACATATGTGAGCAGAACAATTGTATTTGCTACACTTTTGGTACTTAACAGCAGGTCCGAGACATCAGGCTTACTGCTTTTGGAGCTATTTTCATTGGCAGGTCTCATCATATGAAAAGCACAGGCATTTTCCATGAAGTATTAAAAATGCCTGGGTGCTGTCCACACTACTTTGTAACACGTGAGAAAAATACACACATGAAGGAAAATGCAAAAATATTAAAGCAGAGAACAAAATTAAAAGACCAGCAAAATTAAGACCTTCATGTAATAGCTGTGTGCCTGAAAACAAAATAGACTATCTTGTCATCTAAAGAAAACCAGCAAGACCTAATATGCAGAAAAGTGTGTTGTTTGGGGACTTCTTTAAAGCAATAGCAAGCCATTACTAACAGGAAAAAAAATACAGTGGCAACAACATTTTCCTATTTTCAGTTTTTGTTGTACAGAGACATCTTATAGCCACTCTGTAAAATTAATTCTCTGGGTTAGCAGAAAATCTCATGAGCATTTGAATACTCAAAAGAACATTTCTCCCACAGCCTCAAACAAAAATCAAGTGGTCTAACATTTGAAAATTACAACAGCAGGTCAAATATTTTAAAACCCTACTTATAACTGAGAAAATAGCACAGATGGAAAATATGTTGCATCATTTATATCTAACAGTGTGTTTTTTACATATGGATCAAAGGGGGGGTTTTTCAAGTCTATTCCTAAAAGGACCACAGTTGTGTTAAATAGGGTACAAAGATAAATTGCTGCTATAGAATAACCCACTGATAAAAACAAAAGGTGACAAACCTATCTTAACTCATCACCAAAAATGTTCTACAAAGATTCTGGCAAAATATTACCACAGATCTCAATTTCAATGCCCTTGGTATTTAATCACAGTATTAGTACCATGTTTAGGACTTCCTATAAAACCTAAAACTGGTTGATATCTCTTAAAAAAAAACCTCACCAAAAAAGAATCTCCCACAAACAACATGGAGAAAGGCAGCCACCTGAAATTCTCTGTACTTGTATATCCTTGTGTTAGGCCTAGTTGCACTAAGAGCCAAATTCAGTAACAGCTTATGGTCTACAGACCTCTGCCAGTTCTCTGGCAGTGACTGCAACATGGTATTTTGTACATGCAAGAAAGTTTCTATACAATCAGCTACAACATAACCTGTAACTGCACTCTAAATATCATCCATAGGACTATAGTACTTATTTTTATAAATAATTTATTTAGCAAATTGTTTTATCCAATTGTAAATAATTTACAAGCTCAAGACTAACAAAAACATGGAGAAGAGATCTGAAGCACAGGCACCCTTCACAGAGAGAAGAGCATGAAGAAATGAAAATTAGTTTTAGAAATGCTTCTCTTCAGGAAAAAAGTGTCACTGACCTGTCCTCACTTTAGCTTTTATTTTTGAATTCTGGAAGTTAAAGTACATTAGCAGGTGACAACATACTCCCAGGCATGTGGTGTGGCTCTTGGGGATGGCCCTGTGCAGGACCAGGAAATGAACTTGATGATCCTTGTGCCTCCTTTCCTGCTCAGCATTATCTGTGATTCTGAGACTTGTGTGAGAAGAGCAAGAGGAAGGTAATAGGCAGGATAAACAAAAAAAAGCTTACAGATTTCATGAAACTTTCTCTAGGGAGCAAATGTACATATAGGGAGGAACCTAAAGCGTGCCTATTGCTCTAACTTCCCTGCTGAAAACTACTGACTGGATAATGCCTTCAGCCACAGAGACTGGCAGAGCTCAAAACACAGGCTTAGAGAACTTATCCAGTCATTTACAAATGCACAGCAATGGGTAACTTCCCTCAGCATTTTTTTAAATGCAAAAAATACTTTTCTTGATTCTGACAGACTAAGTTTAAAAATATTGTCAAACTTCAAACTCAGTACATACATAAAACATTTCATTGATAAAGAGCACACAAGTAATTATGCAAACCCCTGGTTCTTTATGCTAGCTTCATAGGATACCTCATAAAAGGGCTTTTTTTTCTTAATTAAATCAGCGAGCATGCACTCAAGCATCCTTACCATAGTAAATCAATTTGTGTGTGCATTGAATGAAAGCAAATTCAAGATATAAACACACCACAGAACTGATTTCATGTAAGGCATTATTATAAGCAGTATGAAAAGTGCTTTTAAAAGCACTGTAAGAAACACTTTGACAGTGCTCCTTTAAAAATGGATTTAAAGGGAGGTTGATACCTTCTTCCAATCCATAGATAGATCTGAGCACCACTGTAGCAGAGAGCACAGAACTGATTTTTACTTCAGATGTACCAGTAAGATTAAATTGATCCTTGCTCATTGTACCATATAAAAATCAACAGAAAAGCTAAAGAACATGGAAAAACCAAGAGAATCTGCAGAGGTAAAGGTCACAGATACATGTAGTTTGAGAAAAAAAGAGAAGCCTTCTCCCCAAATACCTACATGCACTCTTCCACAACCCCACTCTATTGTTAAGAGACAGGAATATGCCAAAGGCAGTATATGTTGAGAAAAAATAACAGCTAGTACAGCCACAGAGTGCAGGTTACATAGGCTGCTAGAACAGAAACCTACAAAGACAAACCTGATATTCCTACCAGTAACTTGGACGTTTCCTGCTTTGGAATATAATAAAACAGAAGTTGGTCCTGTTGAACAGGACTGGCAAATTTTGAAACCAAAAGCACACACAAAGTGCAATATTGATGTCCCCAGGCCTCCCACCGTGGCCCGGCTGCAGGTAGGTGCCCCTTCCAATCCGGCTGCCACCACTGACCCAGTGCCACCCCTCTGCCCTTTCAGGGACAGCTGTCCACAGGCAGCTCCAGATGTCCTCTGCACAGAAACAAACACTCAAGTGAGAGCTGTAAATTTCACATCCCATAACAAACAGCCATGAAAGAGACTAGAAGTTTTAAGCCTTTATGCCTACACTCGTCTGAAGAGGAATCCTCTCCAACCTTGCACTGCTCTGTAAGGGTCTAAAACAGTGTGGAGGGCTGCAGCTGAGGAGCTGCCGTTTACCACAGCACAGGTGTCACCACTTGCTCCTTCTTCCTCCTCACCTTCCTCCAGGCACAGCCCCTCAGCAAAATGCAGTTTTCACTGCCAGGTGAGCGGGGTCTCACCCCAGCTCCCCACCTAAGGCAGACTGGGGGAGTAGGGAGCAAAGAGTAGGAATGAGGTGGCAGCCACGACAACCAGCCCCAGCGGCATTGATGGAAGGTGTAAAACCATGGCCTGAAAATCCCAAGGTGCCTTCGGGCAGTGGGGGTGCCAGTGGGATGCTGATCCTCCTCCCTTAACACAGGCCATGGACAGTTTTGGGGATCTGCTGGAGGCACACTTTGGAATCATAAAATCACAGAACAAGCTGAGGTGGAAGGGACCCATCAGGACCATCGAGTCCAGCTCCTGGCCCTGCACAGGACACTGCAAGAGTCACACTGTGCACCTCAGAGCGTTGTCCAAACTCTATCAGGCTTCAACTCTTGTCAGGCTTGCCTGACACCGCTTCGCTGGGAAGCCTGTTCCAGTGCCCAGCCATCCTCTGGGTGAAAAACCTTTTTCTAACATCCCACCTAAACTTCCCCTGCACAACTTCAGGCCATTCCCTTAAGTTCTGCCACCGGGTCCGAGAGTAAAGTGATCAGTGCCTGCCCCTCTGCTTCCCCTATCTTTAGTGAGGGTCGGGTGCATATATATATATATATATATATGTACATATTTCTATTATCATATTTCCCAGGGAGAGTGCTGCAAGCACCTTTACATGACCCCCCCACATGTGCCCGGGACCCGCCGCACCGCCGCTGGGGCACGGCCCGGCCCGAGGGAGCACGGAGAGCCCCCGCGCTCGCTGCCCTCACGCTGCGCCGCCGCCCGCCCGCCGCGCCATGCCGCCCCCCGCCCGCGGGCTCCCCCTACCTGTCCGAGCAGCCGCCAGCGGGCTCGGGCCGCCGCCGCGCCGCTCGCTCCGCACCTGCCCGCGGCGGGGCGGCGCGGGGAGCCGGCAGCCTCGGCCATGCGGCGGCGGGAGCGCTGGGAGCTGGCGCGGCGGGAGAGAGGGAGGGAGGCAGCGCTGTCTTGGGCGGCGGGGCCGCGCCGCTGAGCATCCAGCGGCTGCGGGACCGGCCGAGCTAGGGATGGAGCGGGAGGAAGGGCGCGGCCATCTTTGCTAAGGGCAGCGCCGAGCGACTCTCGGCGGCCGAGAGGAAGCGCGATGCTCTTCAGGCCCGGTACGGCGTGGGCGCGCCTCAAGATAAGTCGCCCGTGGCCACCGTGCCCGGGGACGAGACTGGGTGTGGCACGGCGGCCACCTGGGAAAGCCGCCCCGGGGAGCGTGCCCGCCCCGCTGTGGCTCCGCGTCCCGGCGCTGACATCAGCGGCGCTCGGCCGCCGCGGCTGCTGAAGCTCCCTGCCGCCATCTTAGTGACGGGCAGCGCCCCAGGGAGCGCTGCCGCCCGCCCGGCCGGTGTGTGATCCCGGGCAGCCCCGGCCCAGCGGGAACGGCGGGAGCGACGGCAGCGCCACGGCGAGTCCTTGCGCGGGCCGCGAGCGGACGGGCAGCGCCGGCGGGGAGCGGGCCCGTGCCGGGTCCGGCCGGACGCGTGGGGCCCGTCCCCTGCAGTGCTCCTGCGAACGGGGCTCAGCTGCTGCTGCCCAGGGAGCCTCGGGAGAGAGCGTGGGTTTGGTGTTACATGATGGGGAACTGAGGGGGGACGACTTCTCCAAACTTTCCCAGTGTTTTGTCCTTCAGCGTTTGGACGTGCGCGGTTGCAGCTCCCCTTCTCCTCATAGTTTCATTGGAGTTAAACTTTGGGCCGCCCGGAATGTTCAGGTTAAAATGTGGGTGCCAGTTGTAAACAAACAGACTAAGTCTTAATTATTTTCTTCTCATTTGATTTACCTAGTGAATCAATCACATTTCTTTGGAAGAGGAAGTTTACGCTGTGTCTATTTCCTCTGTATGTATGTATATTTACATCTGCTGTTTACTTTATGGATATTTCACACGTGCAGTGTAAATGATCGGCAGTTCGGGATTTTCAGAAATTTCACGAATGTTTCAGAATTTTTCACGAAATGAAGGCTAGAATGTGCTGCACTGCACTGCGGAATCTTCTCCAAGGGCTGAGCTTCAGTGCCAAGTACTACTCCAAGCATAACCCTCCTCAAACAGTGTGTCCTTTCAGTAAAATTGGACCAAAAAAGTGCCACATCCTGGGCTGTTCAAAAAGCACATGCACCCACAGGACTGCACCACCTGGAAGCATCCTGCCATGCAGATTCTTTTCCTGCAAGGTATGCTGTTAAATAGAGACCTAATACCATCAACTACCTTGGCACATCTCTTAAGGGATCAAAGTCATACTTTTCACATGTTGAAGAAATATATATTTCCCAGAGGATTTTAAGCAGAGGAATCAAGTTCAGGATATCAGTTATGTTTAAGGACATGTACCATTGTTCAGCTTTCCTATGCTGTTTTGACATAAAGACTCAGGTAAAGTGTCAGGAGAAAACTTCAGGGAGAGATCAGCTAGTGTAGAGGCAAAGTGTCCAAACTGATTATACCAGACTGTGAGCTGTCTCAAAAAACACTTTACTTTTCTGTGTTGACCAGTAAGGCCATGGTTTCCATCATATTAAAATACAACATGATGCTCACATGTTCTAAACTATATTTTAAAAGGTACTTGCATCGATTTCTGTAAATAAATATTGTGTAATTAGATGGCAGTAACTCTCATGCACAGAGTCAGAAAACAGTCTGAAATAATTTTAGGTCTTCTGTCTCAGTGTCTCTAATACAGATTTTGCTAGAGGTATTATAAAATTTACTGCAGTACGACATCCTAGAAACTTATTTATATGCATAAGTATTGTTTAAAAAGATGCTTGTTTTGGTTTATTTGATCCTTAAACATGTTTTCAGATGGGTGCATGGTTGTCCTAAAATTGTTTCAAATTGACAGTGTTTCTTTAGAGGTGACACAAAGGTGGTCTTGTTGTAACTCTTTTATTTGTCACCCTGAAGTAAAGAGTTCCTAAATCTGTGTTGCAAATGTAAACGAATGTTTCGGAGAACACAGGAGGTCTGGAGGGATGAGAATGTGTGTTCAGTTTACTCAGTGGAACTCCACTTACACAATTGTTACAAATGCTCCTCTGTGTCACTGGTCCCAGGATGCAAACGGGGTTTTCACCTGAAAGGAGGCTGTGCCTGTTTGCTTTGGAGCAAGTGTTTGCACACTAATTGTCACTGAGATCCTCTGCTATCCTGAAAATCTTTCAAGATTGCTGGATTTTCCCCAGGCAGGGAGGTGTACTGTACCTCTTAATACATCCCTACACTGTGACCACCAGCTGTATATAATATTTCCAAATGAATACAATGAGTATTGCTGAAAACAAAAGGAGGGCAATCATCAAAAGATTCATAAAGTGTGGAACTTGTCAAAATAAGTTGTGGATACTAAAATTTTACATAGGTGTAAGGGAAGACATATATGAGATATAGATATGTCATATATGAGAGAGACTTTTTGAATATCCAGAAACCATATTCAGGTTAGGAAATTCCTGAGCTAAAATTGCTTAAGGCTGGAGAAAATCATGTGTCTTGTCCCATTATTATGCTTTCCTAAGTATCCATTTATGGCCACTGTGAGGTTTTATTTGGTTGCATTGTTTTTGGGGCATGGTGTTGTCTTACAATAGTTTTGCAGTGACTGGGGGTGAGGTGGTTCACCTTTGGTATCCAGCATTTTGTTTCTCCTGACCAATCACTCACTTGCTCTAGAGCTTCTCTAAGAGCCTTCACAATTTCTTTGCCTTGTGCCAGGTGACAGGGAGGACTGGTCTGAGCCAGTGACAGACACTCTCAGCTCTCAGCAATGATGTGCTTTATGTTCATAGGGAGTTTGGTTACTGGAGCAGATGGTTTCCTTTAGAGTCTGCTTGGAACATTCACATTTGGTTCTTACGTGTTTCTGAAGACAAACTAGGAACAAACCAACATTCCTTAATGGAAAATGGGGACAGGATATGAAGCACAGGCTGCTTTTTAAGCTTAGACACATTCAAATCATACCTTGAATGTTATAAAATGCTACTTTGTATGATCTGTGCAGTATTAGGTAGTGTAATTAATATAAGTTGTGAAGCTTACTACTTGATCAAGTGAGATTTCACAGCATGCAAGAGGAAGTAGCATTGTTCTAGCAGTTTTAACACGCTTTTAACATTTTTACAATAGAGGACAGCTTTGTTGGCAGTGAGGTAGCAGTAATCTCACATTTCATGGAAAACCAGATCCTTAAACTTATTCCTGTTAAAATTGTTGTGGAACCCATATCAGTTCACTTCATTCTGCACCTTATGAACATTTATATTAACACTTCTGAGGAGGTGGAGCAAAACCTGAATGAGCTGCTGGGACCCTGAGGTACAGGGACAGAGGTGTGGATGCTGTTGTCTAGGAAAGGAAACGAGGAGTTACACTCTGAAGACAGGACATTATGAAAGAAAGCTGTGAAGAAGGAAAAATAATAGAACTCCATAAAAACTAAAACCTAGTTCTAGAACAGGAACAAACATATTTACTTATAATCAATTAAGAGCATATATTAATAGTATCCTAAATTTTGAAGAGAAGACCTCATTGTGTTAAGTAAAGCACATTTGACAGTGCCTCCCCAAAAGATCAGGAAGAGTTAAAATAAAACACATACCAACTACTGTTTGTTTCTTGGGTTTTTTTTTACTGTCATATACTTTTGTAATAACACAAAGGTGGTTTTGGGCCTGTGGCTCAGGGGATATACCTCAATATAGTCAGATTGGTGTGCAGAGTGCTGGCTTGTAGCCATTGTTGTCTTTCCTTACTTAGCAGGAAGGATCAAAAGTCCTTTCCAAAAGGAAGCAAAAAACGTCCAAAGTAACTTCAGACCTTTTGCCCAAGAGCCTTCTGAAATCAGAGCAAAAAAAATGGAATAACATTTCACCAATATACGAAGCTATGACAAAGAGGATCAAAGAAAAACTGGAAGAATTGCACAACATGTATACACTCAATTCAAGAAACCCAAGGGTAAGTGGCAAACAATACAAACATTTCCCATCACTGACTACAATAAAAGACAGTGAAGCTGTTCCTGCTATAAAATGCTGGTTTACTCATTTTTTTTACAGTAGAAATTTTGAATATTTTAATAACTGTGCATAGTAACAGTTTGTGTTTAGAACAGCTTATACTTGTTATGACAGTGAATTTATCTTAATTTCTCCATAGGCAAAAGCAAGTAAAGATAAAATAATCATCTGACTTTTGGATAAAGAATACACAACATTGTAAGTTACAAGAGCAGTTGCAGGTGATCTGAGCCTTCTGTGAAATTTAGACCAGGTAGAGGTAGCTTAAGTATCATAACTGAAAAAACCTTTCTGATGTGTGCAATTCCTTCTTCAGTATGGAATATATGTTCTATCATTTGTTACATTTGTTATACTTCTGCTGTACAGAAAAATTACTACATAGGGATTCAAAGGAAATAGTATGATGGACTTGAAATATTTTTCTTTATATTGAACAGATAAGGTTTGGAGAGAATGTGTACTTTGAAGAGAATGGCTGCATATTTATTGCAAAAGCAGATGATGGTAAGGGATTTCTCTTCCTAATATGGTAGGATTCTTTAAAAAGGTATACATGTATCACTTAGTGTTCTTTTCTTGCATTAATGTTTAACTTGTCTGTTTCTTAACTAAAAATACTTTTATACAATTCTGTACTAGAGTAATAATTTTAGAATCCTGAATCTGAAAAGGTGAGGTAAAGAGACTTAGAGAACAGTATATATTGATACTAAGGAAAGTTGTTGGAGAGGAAAGAGATAAGACATTTCTTTGCAGAGCCCTAACTTAACATTTTGAAGAAAGGAAAAGAACATCCATGCTTTTGTATTTCTGAGGGGGGGTGAAAGAATTTTTAATTTTATTTATTAGAAACAACCATGCTTTAGCTATCTGAGCTTTAAAATTCAATATGTTTATTAGAAGCCAAGATCTACACTTTTGAAATATTTTTAGTAATAACTACAGGACTTTTTTCTTTGGAACTGTAATTTTTTGTTTATTTTTACAAAATGCATTTGCAGATATCTTGCAAGACAGGTATTTGTTGCTGATAAATTCCAGTAGAATGTTTGTGAATATTGGAGACAGATTTGTTAAATACAGACATTAAAAATCACCATTCATTTTGACAGTGGTGTAATTATAGGATTTTTTGCTATCTCTTTTTCTTATGTAATAGGTGAAGGAAATGCTAAGATTTTATTCAGTGTTGAAGATCTTGGCTTTTCTGATGCCTTTATTCAACGGATCAGAATTTCACCAGATCAGAGATACATGGCCATCAGCTTAAAAAGTGAAAATTCTGAAGAGGCAACCTGTACTATTATGAAACTTGGTGATCTTCCTGTAGTGGAAAAAGTAATTCCAAGTGTATTTAGCTTTGGTAAGTCGTTTTTAAATATCCTGTGGATCACACAAGCTTTCAACACAACATTTTTCTTAGTTTAAAGATAATAATTTTTTTTTAATAAATGAAAGCAACATTTAATCCTTATAAATGTTGATTTTTTTTCTTATGGTTTCTTTAATGCTGCATGATTACAGGCACATACAGGCTGTCTGATATGGATGAAAGGGACTGCTTCCTGAATACAATTTGTCCTTCATTGCAAAAGCATTTATACACATTACAACAGTCATCATTTTTTCCATTGAATCCAATATGCTATATTCAAAATATTGTCATGTGACAGTTTGTCATATAAAGATGGTTTTGAGGGATGTTCTAGTTGGTAAACCCTTGCAGCTACAGCTGAAGTCACTGGTAGCTGTAGACAGTTAGCTTTGTTTGAAAAGTGTGGAAGTACTTCCTACCAGTGAGTATTGGCTGGAATTTCAACTGGAATCCACAATGTGGGTCACACCTCAGAGCCCAGTGAAGTCAGCCAGGCCTTGAATCAATTCTTTCAGAATAGATTACAGAGCTTTACATTGCTGTTAAAAGAAGCAGAGGTAAATGGAAGTGAATGGGAAAACATTCTTTTTTTTATAGTCTGTTAAAGAATATAGCAAAAAGAGTATAATAGTATGTACACAGTGTTCCACATCCTGTATTTTGGATTATATTGCTAGATGTCATCAGGTATATCTAGTGCAGTAAGCAATTTGCCTGGGCAGAGCAACAAACTAAAACTCTATGTAAAACTTCCTTGTTAAAAAAATGAGGAGTAGCAAGAATTTAGTGATGTGTTTCCACACTGAAGATTATAATACCCGTTGAAAAATAAACATGCAAAATCAACATACTTGATTTGAACATCTATCTAGGTTGATCCAGAAGAATCAGGGCAGTTAAAAGACCAACATCCTGTTGCCTAGATAGGTGTGACAGATAATGAAAGTACAAAAGATGACTAACAGAATGGTAAACTCCGTAAAAAGTAAAGGTAAGGCAAGGTGTGTGTAAAGCTAAGTCAGGTGTTAGTGAGGTACAGCGGTAGTGCAATGAAGCACAGAGATGCCTCAGTCATGAGCAAAAGAATTAGGTCTTAAAACCCCTTGCAAAGTTTATGGGCTTGTATTGAGTGATATAAAATAGCAAGGAGACAGACAAAAGCTCTTGAAAATTTACACCTTGATTTTTCTGTAGGCTAGGCTATAGAAAAGTCTAGATTTGCCCTCCAAAGGCCTGTCTTCATAGTGGATCCTCAGCTACCTGTGCACTTTGGAGCCACATTGCTGTTCAGAAAGCAAAGTGTTTGTGTTATTTGGTGTTATGAATTCCTCGGGGTTTGTACTGAAAATCAGTATTTATGCATAAGACACATACAGCAGCTTTTAAAAGCACATGTGTTAAACATCATTCTGTTGGCTGTAGGAGCAGCAGAGATGGCAGGAATGTGGCTGGATCAGTCAGAATAACTTCAGAATAACAAGGTTCCTGTATTTATGCCTTTCTATGTTGGTGAACACATACACAAGCATAGAAAACTGGAGAATTTTTATCTCAGCAGTACCCATGGGGCACATGCATCATCTCTTTTCTCTAAATGGCTTGTGTGCAGTCACATGCAGCAGTGCAGAGCTTATGATGTCTTTATTATCTTGCTGACTTCATGTAAACCTTTTTCTCTGCTGTTTTAAACAGCCACGTCTCCTATTTTCCTGTTACCTCCAGAACCCACACAGGGTCAACAGCTTCCTATTACTGGGCCCTGCAACATTGACCTCTGCTTTTTTTTTGCTTTTTTTTCAATGCATTATGAGATTCTTGTTCTGTGGTATTCAGAGAAAAAATTCATGGAAAAACCTTTTGGCTCTTACCTCAGTGCCCACAGGATGCAGAAGTGCTGTCCTCAGTTCCATACCACCTGCAACCCACCTTTTTCAGCACTGGGTCCAGTGTCCATGGAAGTCCCATCTTCTGTCAGTAATATTATCTTCTCTCTGAATTTGATATGCATTTGTCTTTTTTTCCAGAATGGGCTGCAAATGATGTTTTGTATTACACAGCTCAGAAGAACCTTAAATGCCAGAATGTATTCATGACCACTTTCACTTACCAGAAACGTACTAAGTTAGTTTATACAGAACAAGATGCAAGGTAATGCATACGTAAAATACAACAAGTCCTTTACATATTTTAGAGTATTTTATATGTAAAATATAGCTGGTTTGGAAAACAAAGTGTTCCATATTATATTTCAAATAGTAAAATTCATTTTTGTGTTCTGTGGTCAGTAGTGCCTTATGCAGCCTGGGAATGTGCTCTGTTCTCCTTTTGATATGTGATCAACAGAGATTAAACTTTCCTCTCTTACCTCATGAGTTCAGCTGAGTTTATAAATGTCAAGGTCACTCTCAGGTCAGGGTGTCCTTTAATGAATGTGTGACAGTTTCATACAGGGTAAATCAGACCGTGGACTTCATTTTGTTTTCTCTGCTATTGATGTCTGATCTTTTAAAAAAAATACATAAGTTCAGGCTAATCCTTGCTCTGGGTAATGGATGAGCAAAATCATTACAACATCCCAAGAGACAGAACTATTGTTGACTGAATACCCTCTCAATAACCTTTCTTTAAGCAGTGGTTTAGGAAGACAAGAAGGCTCTTTGCTAAATTGAGCACAGAACTAGCTTTTCAGCATTGTAGCACATGGTATATTTATACAGCATTGCATAAATATTTGTTATTATTCTTAATTCAAGTTACATATTCAGTAAAGAAATGCCTATTATACTTTCATCAGAAAAAAAAGAAAACAAAAAATCTGCAACAGAGATGGAATAAATAAGATCTTTTTTTTCCAGCTGCATTTGATGCATCGTTTTGGAAAATCAAGTTGCACTGACCTGGCACTTCCCCACAGGGAAACTGTTGGCATAATTCTGAAGGTCACAGTCATTACAGTAGATCTACTAGAAACTTACTCTAAAGGTTCATGTGCTATTGCAGCTCATAGCTGAACTCCTTCATCGGAGATGGCAAGACATTCTTTTGTATTGCCATTGAGCACTTCTGTTCTGCATCTCACCAGCTCTTCTAGTTGCAATCAAATCTTTTTTTAGAAGCTGAAAATTTATTGACTTTTTTTTTAAAGCTACAAAGAAAAAAAAAATGTAATATCAAGGTCATAATCCTTGGGGAGAAGTGTGACATGCATTTCAGCTCAACCCTCTTAGAGGCAGGATCAGCAGAGCTGAACTCTTGGAATCTCTGCTGAATGCAGTGCCACATTCTTGCCAAATTCATGGATATTAGACAGGCAGGAGGCTGATTTTTCTTGCAGACTTTAGCTCTCCCAGTGTGTGCCTGTCCTAAAGATGTCAAGAGGGTGCAATTAGAAAAAAATAATAGTACCAAAAAATTTGAGATCCTCCACCTGCAAATAATTAAAGGCACTGAAAATACTATCTAAAGCATATTTTTCTTCACCAATCAAATACTCTGAATCCTAGAGAGATCATCATTGCAATCATGTATCTGATCTGTGTGATGCAGATTATGGTACTCAACCCAACATTTTCTTGATGGAATCTGGATCTTCGTGTTGGACAATTTTGCTATTAGAGACATCCAGTCTTAAGGGTTCAAAATGGCAAAGAGACTGTTCTGATCCAAGATGTGACATTCCACTTAATTTGGATGACTCACTGAAATTTTAATCTGAATTTCAGCCTGAACTTCTCTACTATTAGCATCCAGGCACTGGTTATCAGTCTGCTTTCTGTTTCTAGATTTCAGACAGATTTAAATCCAGTATGTAGTTCCTAGTTTCTTAGTTCCAAATTTTCCAGTTTCCAGTTTTATCACTTCAACACTGTCCTTCTTGCCTCATATAAGCCTCTGTGCTTTTTTTCTTTTTAAGTAGTACTTTTTGTCTTATTTGCTTCATTTGACAGTCAGGTCAGTAGCACATAGACATTTTATCAATTTATTATTTTAATAGCTCTTACTTTCGTTATTGCTGTTCTCACATGATGTCATTCCTTATTTTAACTATCCATTACTACTTTTTTATTTTAAATAGGGTTACAAGCTCAATAAAAAGTTCTACATTTTGCCCGAATTTTAAAGCCTGTATGCATAAACAAGCTTCCAGTCTAGCTCAATAATACAAAAACCTGGATTTAGTTGGGCAACAACTAAATTGCTTTCCTTGCAGATTTCAGGTTTCACACACAAGATTGAAGGGTTTTAAATACCAGGGTAAGTGCAGCAGAAGTGGGTCTGGGAGCCAAGTAGCCTGAAATTTCTCCAGTCTGCTTACAGAAATGTTGTTTCTTACCTTGAAGATGGAAGCCCATGATTCTGAAACAACTGATGTATTTTAAAATACTGATACAATTTAAGTTTTTCTTTTCTTTTTTTTCAATGATTCCCTACAGATTCTTTGTAGACCTTTATTGCACAAAAGACAGGCATTTTCTCACTATCAACAGCAACAGCAAGACAACCTCAGAAGTTTGGCTGGTTGACTGCAGACATCCCTTTGAGTCACCTGCTCTTGTACAAGCACGAACCACGGGGCTCATTTACCACATTGAGCACAGGAAGGACCAGTTGTACATTCTTACTACATATGGAGAACCTGCAGAATATAAGGCAATTTTGACTGATAATTACATTCATAGGATTAATTTAGATGCCTATTGCAGGTCATATAGAAATAGTAAGGTTGGCTCTTAATTCTGTTTATCATAGCTTACTGAAATAAATTAAGAGAGAGAACTGCATGGATTAAAAAGACTTATAGTGCTGCATGGAGTCTCACCTGTAGGAGGCCAGTTTGATCCTAACTCCTTTGACAGCATCAAGAAGTTTCTATGCTTCAACAGTCTTTTCCCCTGTATCAAAAGTTGGTGATCTCACTTTGTGTAATCATACCCACCTACAACTGTGCTGGCCACACTGAAAGCACTTATTGCATTACAGTCTTCTGTAGAGTAATCTTTGAGACTTTGTCTTCTCCAAATGTTACTGCATTGTTCTTCCATTTTGCCTAAGTAAAGGGAGTTTAAAAATCTCCAGTTTTAGACAGGCAAACACGCCAAATACAAATAAGTATCTTTTTGCAAGAAAAATGTATGAGATCGCCTATAAGTCTGTACCTCTCATTTGTAACTCTTAGTACATTTTAGTAATACAAGGTTGTTTGGTTTTGTTTTTTTTATAGTTGATGAAGGCACCAGTAGCTTCCAGTGGCAAGGAGAACTGGCAGTTAGTTTATGCACTGGAAAGGAAAACTAAGCTAGTAGACTTTGAGATGTTCAGTGATGACTGTATTATGTTCCTGAAGAACGCTGGTCATCTTTACTTAAATGTGATTTCTTTTGTTTCACACTCAGTTCAGTCGATAAAGGTATGTTTTAGCTTGGTTTAAGCAGCATAATATTTTTCCAGCTTCTTTTTCTTTTTTTTTTTTTTGGCATAACATACTGAAAGCAAAGTAAATTCCAAAAGCAAAAAGCGGTTTAGAAACTATTAATACTGGCAATTTCATCATTATGACTAATGACTAATTGTACTACCTGTGGCTGTTCTTCAGGATTTGATGTGATGGCTTATTGCAGCATTTAGAAAGTTAAAGAGCAGCTATCCTGTGAGCCACTTCTTTCTTCAACAGATTACAGTCAAGCTCTTGACAATACAGCTGATTTCTAATGTAAACAGGACTTAGTTCCCTAAATGCTGTACTTAGTTTTACTGAGCCTTTTTTTGCCTACACTCATTGGTGTAAGCAAGGCCCCTCCCACAGGAGAAAGAAATCGGAAATCATACTTGTTGTATGGACACTGTCCCATAATAAATGGGAAGAGTTGATATTGCAGTACAATTGGTGCAAAGGATTTGCTTCCATTCTCTAGTTATTAAATACCTGTGGATTAAAAACAAAGTGACTTAAGCCAAATCCAATTTCTGAACATCATTCAGGTGAAATATTTAATTGATTTGTTTTCCTGAAAAATAACAGTCTGAACAACTCACAAGTTTATTGCAACAAGCTGCCAATGCTGCACTCTATAAAACTGCTACAGAAAAAGGTTTTTGACAAAGTACACTGTATGGTCTCCAAAATCTTCAATTTTTTAAAATGGCCATAGTTTATTTATTCAGAAAGGGCCTGTAGTTACTCAGGAGAACTTGGACTTCTGCTGCCTTTTCAGAAGCCTCTAGCAACCTAACCCAAGTAAGTAATGGTCTGGCAGAGGGTTTGGCTATGTCCCTGCTGCTCTCAAAGAATGAATCTTGATTTCTTTCATTCTTAGCAGAGTTAAAAACCTTAAATATAATAACAGTAAGTATCTGAGGGTGAATGTGCCAGGAAAAGGTTTTGTTCTTCACAATGGCTGGCACTAGGAACAAAGTTAAGAGGCAGGGGTTTTCAGTGGCTTAGCATTACTGAGCTAACTCACAGTAAAAGCATAATAGCTGACATGGACTTGGCTGTATAACGTGTTGAAGTAGAACTGGAAATGCAAGGAAAAATAGGATCTAAAAAATAAAACTGATGCAGAATAATTTCAAATGTTTTCTTTTAAAAAGTCTGCACTAATACCCATTTTGAACTGAATTTGAATTTATTTTTTGTTTTTAATTCATTGTCCAACTTTATCTAATGGTTTTGGGGGAAAAGTTTACCAGTCTTTCACTTCTTGACTGTTTTGTTACTGGATTTAAATGAAATACATACATACAAACTAAGATAATTAGTTAATATCCAAAGCTACATACAAACTAAGATAATTAGTGCTACATACAAACTAAGATAATTAGTTAATATCCAAAGCCTTTTACTCTGAAGGACATATTAAGCAAAATTTACAGAAGCAGTGTAAGGGTCTCACTTGAAATGCCATGTTTTCTCAGCTACCTACGTGGGCCTGTGAATTTGAATTGGAATCTCATCCTGAACATAGCACCAGCACCTGCTATTTTCAGCTCTCCTCCCCAGTACACCCCCCTAAGCGTTTTGCATATTCATTTAAAGAAAATAATCTCATTGAGCAAGCTGTGCAAGAGGTACCAATTATTACAAATTGTCACACTACACGTTTACTAGCTAAAAGCAAGGTAAGATTTTTCAGTCTTTTTCCCATTCCTTTTATTCTTTCCTTCCTCCCCACCCATTTAAAGAAAGTGCATTTGGCAGGGAACAGAGATTAAAAAATGTAAAGAGCAGTTGGTGCTATAGTTATTAAACAGTGGGTGTTTTCTTCAGTGCTACAGAGAAGAACAAGAAAGAGTCGTGATTTTTTTTTTCCATTAACCTGGGTATTCCACAGGAGATAACAGCACACGATGAGTCAAGAAGCTTAGTATAAGTGAGAATTGCTAGTTGATGTAATGGTATTGTACTCCACATGATAAATGAAAAAGGTGCCAGCTGTTGAAAAGAACACCCCACAACCAGCTGCACAGTGCAGATCAAGAAAGGAAAGTTTTAACAGCCTGAGTTTAAAAATTTGGAGATGTTAATAAAGAGTTTGTACTGTGGTAAGTGGTAAACTCTATTGATAATAACATATATTCTTGGTGTTAAAGGGGGAAGGAAGACTTGGGTACTTTGGTATTTTAAAAACTCCTCAGGTGTTGCACTTAAATGAATTTATACTCTGCATCTGTAAGCCCACACAGCAGAGGTTCAGTCTCAGGCTTTATTTTTCAAGAGTGCTTTGTACACTGTAAGTGAAAAAAAATTACTGTAATCAAAAAACCACATTTTAAAATAAATAATTGAAGTTTTCATTGCCATGTGTCATTGAGATTTCTGCAATGTCCCTTATTGTAAAACTACTCCTTCTTTTCCAGGATGAAACTTTGGTGCCAATTACAGTTTTTCATAATAAGAATTCTAAAGAACTACACAGGAGACCACTTCTAGTTCATGTATATGGAGCTTATGGCATAGATTTGAACATGAGCTTTAAAGAAGAGAAGCTGATGTTAATTGAAGAGGGTTGGATATTAGCATATTGCCATGTTAGGTAAGTCAAATATAAAATGGAAATAAGATTTTATTTTGCAGGATACACATACTTGTTCATGTACAACTGAAGATGCACCTTTTGTTTTTTTTTTTTTTTTGTGTACCTATACCTAATTATTCATATTTTCTTAGATTTTTTTATTTAGGTAGTTTTTAAATTTACCTCAGGGAAAAAAACCACAAAAGCACACTACATTTTAGGTTTCCTAAATCTACATGATGGCTGTATGTACCTTTTAATCTTTTCAAGTCTCATTACTTCTTGTCTCATCTTTGCTCAAGAAAAAATTTGGTTAGATGCTCAAATTGCCATGACATGTTATCTCCTTCTCCTTCTGAGAGCATTGTGTGCTAATGCTCAGTCTGTGTCTTCTGAAAGCGATTTACATTCCACAGCAACAACTTAGCATTTAACCTGCAGCCCTTATTCTTTTATTGGCTAAATCATCTGTCTCCAGTTTAGCTACAAATCTACCAGTTTTATCAAACTGCAGTGCACAACAGGCTTCAAATTTTTCTCAGTAGCTAGGGAAGATAACAAAAGAATCACTTTAGGGAGGGGAGGCAAGGGGAGGAATGAATAATTGTTGGAAATACCAGTCCCAAAACAAATTCAGCAAATATATTCAGTCTGCTGTACTCAGTGGCAAGCATTGTGCTGTTCTTCCTCACACCCCACTAAGAATCTTAAGATGCAGGTCAGTCCTACATGAAGATGGATTTGTCATCCAAAGATGGCATCAATCAAATCAAATAATCCATTTGAAACTTGAAACCAGAAGAAGAAGCTTCAGGTGGCTTAGAACCAAAATTGTGGTTGCATAGAAAGAGGTATAAATTATTTTTATAATTCTGTACTACAAAACATAACATTTCAAGTAGCATTTGAAATTCACAGATTAGGGGAGGAAAAAAACCCAAACCCAACTTTCTAAGAGTCTCAGAATTTAAGCTAAGTGGAAGACAATTCCTGAGAGTCTGGTGTGGAGCTCAGAAATACTATTCTACTGTTTTTAATAAGTAATAGTGTTAGTAATGGAAGTATTTGAAATATTTTTGTAGTTTCCTGTATAAAAAGATAATATTATCTGATTTTGTATTGCCTACAATGAAAATGTCATTTCCTAAAGTGTTGCTTTTCCTATAGATTCCAGGACACAAGCACATGTGCCCTTCTACAGTTAGTATTTTCACCAGTCATCATGACTGGATTTATTTTGCCTTCATGTTTTCTCTTTTAGCCATAAAGAAGGGTAAAGGCAAAAATGGAGAAGAATTAATTGGGAAAGCAAACTGTGATGTGCCACTCTGTGGCTGCTGCTGTTCCTTGGTTTTCTGAAGCTATGCCATGTAATGTTTTCTGAAGAGACTCCAACTTGAATTGCATTAAATTTCAGGGGTGGAGGAGAGCAGGGCCTTAGCTGGCACAGAGATGGATGTCAGCATAATAAACTCAAAGGTCTCCATGACCTCAGGGCTTGCATCACGCTGCTGCACCAAGTGGGATTTTCTCAGCCCAAGCACACAGCCCTGGCAGCTGCCAGTGCTGGGGGAGTTCTCGCTGGAGCCCTGTGCAACACTGACCCAGCCCTGCTCAGAGCTATGGTTTTACAGGTGAGCTGCTGCAGACCTTGTACACATTATAACATTATACTGTGCTATCTCTGTTACTGTACCACTTTCAGAATTGGAAACATTCCAGTTCAAAGCTCACTCTCCTCATTTGTTTGAGAACATCTTGACTCAGATATTCAACGTCCTCTGTCCTATTTGCCAACTTTTTTTTTTTTAATGACTTCTAAGGCTCCTTTCGTAGATGTTCTAAATACAATGATGAAAACTCATCTCCCACTGACAATTGAGGAACAAGAAGAATGGGGAAATCCATTAGAAGATGAAAAATGTATGAAGTATATCAAAAGCTATTGCCCATACCAGAATATTAAGCCACAGGTAAAACTATGCTTTCTGTGCAGAATACTTCAGGCATAAAGTGTAGTGGTTTATAAGAAAACCAGAAGTAGATCACTGTTTTTTTTTAAAAAACTCCAATATAAATTATTTCAGTAATAATCTTAGCAATAGTTGGAGTCACGAGTGACTACTGAAATTAACCCAATGCCTTCTCCTAAATGATATGAATTTCTAAACTTGCTTTTGTTTTAGGACTTAGGAAGTAATAGATTATTGTGTAGCAAATATCAACATGCAAAATGCCTTCTTTTGTGGGGGAGTTTTGACATTCCACTGTGTTTTACTGGATTTTTTGCACACACAGGAGGAAGGAGGTTTCCACTGGAGGTATTTTCCACTGATGGAAACTACCTCCACCTGAGGTATTTTCCAGTGGAGGTGGGGGTATTTTCCACTGATTTAATACCTTTCTAGAGGTATTAAAACAAACACTTAAAGGGAAAAGGACCTATAGCTTTGACTTTGTCATCTCAAGGGAAATCTCTCTTTATTTGACAATGTGTTAGCTGGGTTGCACAGCTACCATAAGTAAAATTCTTACTATTTAAAAACCAACTTCTTGGCAGAAAGATTGCAAAAATAAACTTCCAACTATTGTTCTAAGGTAAACTATTACATGATTATTACTCCCTTTTTTCTTTTTTTGCAATCATCAGCAAGCAGACAGGCATCAGGCCTTTATCAGTGGGAAGAGGATGTTTTTATGACCTTTTGCAAGTGCATTATGCGTAACTGTGAAGTCATTTTTCAGACCAAAATACTTTTTGCAGTTAGAGTGATAAAACTCTTAGAAAACACTAAGTAATTATGAAATAGATGAGTTCTTAAATAAACCCTAACAAGTTGTATAGTAAGAGAAAAATGCGTTACTGTTTGAGAAAGACCAGTTGTCAAGTGTTTAACTGGTTTTGGTTTTTAATCTCAGTGCTATCCATCAGTTTTTATCACGGCGTATGAAAATGACGAACGGGTACCACTAACAGGAATTTTACAGTATGTTCAGAAACTCAGAAAGGCTGCACTAGATCATGCCAGCAGAACAAGTAAGAAAGGTAAGGATAAGAATATCACAGATAAATGGAGTTAACCAAAATCTTAATAGTCATGTAAATTAAAGACCACAGAGATTGACTCCTCCTTAAATGAATTCAAACACAATCCCATATCACCAGCTCCACAGCAGACTCAGAACACTCTCTGAGATGCAAAACCAAAGACTGGAAGCCTGTCAGGGGGCTCACTCTTTCCTAGGCCTCCACACAGGGCAGTTGTTGGATAGTGCAGAGTGAACCCACACTGTCACTCCAGCTGCTGACAGGGCCAGACTGCAGTTCTCAGCAACCCTTGGAGAAAAATCTTACTTTTGCTGCTATACAAAAACCTATTTTTCTCACTTTGCTAAAGCTGCAGGTCCTTAGTCCAAGCTAGAGTGACAACAAGGCCAAGGCACAGGTGCTTTTATACCTGAAATTTAACCCTAGCTTTGGGAGTTTCCAGCAAAAGGTACATTCAAGCTTGACAAATTTCTTGTACCATCCAGTCTGGGGAGAAGCTTTTACCATCATTACCAAAAGAGATCTTGAATAACCTTTTCTACATTTCATGATGCCCTGTCTCTGAGCAGCACAACTGCACTGGTTGAGAAATTGCAGCCAGTGCTGCAGTTGCTGTTGTGCTCTTTGTGCAGGAAGAAAAGAGCATGTCTTTCCAAAAATACTCAGAGAGAACAAACACACTAAATAGATTAATATTTTCCAAATATGCAGTTATTAGAAATATTCAGAAAGCCCCTCTACAATTCTCTTTTTCTTAAGGAATAATAGAAATTCTGTCAGGACAAGAAGGAGAATTAGCTATCCTTAAACAATTCACGTACCCACTTAATTTTTTCCTTGTCCATTCAATGTAAAGTGATCATCAGCTTCATTGTTCCAGGAAATTGGATTCCTAATATCATCCTAGATGTCCAGGCAGATGGCAGTCATTGTGATTCATCCTGGGAGCACTCACTGAATGAGGTATGGTCCCTTTACTGCACAGCTCCATAACATGGTGCAGGGGATATTCCCCCTCAAGGAATACTTCAGCCTCAGTAGTTGGGCAGACATTGAATGTATGTTTAAACTATAAAGAAAAACTGCTAGAGCAACTGCTGATTTTACACACACACACACACACACACATATATATATATATATATAATTTTAAAACCCAGCAATCTTTATATATAATTATATCTATTTTTATACATATATATATATACTTGTACAGATATAAAAGAGAGTGACAGAGTCAGATTACTGAAATAGCCTTAAAATAGTGTTCAATTCCCACTGTAATGTGCTAGGAGAATTGAATGAAAGGTTCCAAGTTGTGCAAAACATCATTCCAGCAGGAAGAGTCTTGCTCTGTGGGGTATTAAGTGCTTAAAACTGTCATACTATTTACTCCTATCTTCCTCATTGTGTAAAACATACATGATGGGTTGGTTCTTTACATTTTGAAATGCATGATCTGTGCTATCAAAGCTGTTACAGTTAGCTTTCAAGAATTTGCACTTTTTACAAGCATGCTTGTTAAAAGCAAAATACTGCCAAGACCTAACATATTTTTACTGATGTCTCAGACTGTCACAGTTGGATACTAATTTTATTACTCTTATTTTTAACAAATCCTAGAAAATGTTAATTTGGTGGTTGTGGCAGTTATTCCCCAGATGTATTCTTTCAGGAAAAGCTCCATGCTGTCTTAGGACAAGGTATTTCTAAGCATTAGTATAGAAAAGGAAGATTACTAGAATGGCTGCACAAGAGCCTGAATGTTTAGAGTGTGAAGAACTTTACCTTGTAATAAAATATTACCTTGTAATATTTTAATAATAAAATATTTACCTTGTAATAAAATATTTTCATTATTTTAGGTTGCAAGACACCTTGCTTTTCTGAACAGAGAACTTCAGGAAGTGTGCCATCCCCAACATCACAGCAAATCCTGCAAATAACTCCCAAACACACTGACCATCTGGGAAACTTACGGTCAGATTTGGATTAGTACAGAAAGCAAACACCTTCTCCAGAGGATCTCTCCTCTCGGATCCCTGCTTTATGGGCACAAGCACACAGAGCTGGGTGTGGCACTGCCTTACAAAAATACAGACCAAGAACTGGAATTCTGCCCTGCCAGGCTGTGCAGAAGCAGCTGCCAGCAGAAATGAGTTTGTGCAGCAGCTCTGTTCACGTGAGCCAGCAGAGCAGCAGCACACAGAGCCCCACAGGAGAGCCACAGGCACTTGGCACAGGCAGCCTTCCTGTCCAAGGCACATCTCACACAAGGCAGCAGAACTCCTCCAAAGCATCTGACATTCAAGTCTCACTGCTTCCAGGACTAATCCCCATATGTAGGTGATGGGGGTTGCTGCCCTCTCTCTCTGCACAGCAGCCATGGTGTACTGACCATGTGGTGGGACTGACCAAACTGCAAAGAAAAGCACTCTCAAGAACAGGAATTTTAGCAGAACTCTGATCTGAATACATTAAAAATCTTTCAGTCCCTTACCTAGCATGGTAATCTTAAGAAGGAGGTGCCACATCTCTCAGGAGGACTAAATCAATGTGTAAGAAGATGCTGGAGTATCTCCAGAGGGTAAAACAAAAAGAATGCCCCCACTAGAGTAGCCTGATTCATAGCTTAGCTGCCCTCTGAGCAAGGCACGAATCTGCTGTGCTTTGCTTGTTAAAAGAGATGTGTGGTGCACACCCAGGGCCACATCAGCCTCTGCAGGTGCAGCAAATGCAAATCAGAGCACCTGTACTGACATTCAGTAGGGTTGGTTCAGCTGCTTCCTCTGAACTAAAGTACACACCCCTCACCTCAGCCTTAGGGCAGGAAAAGAAATAAGAGAATGCAAACATATTCTAACTCAGCAGGGAAGGGGAGAATCAACTGGAAATGCAGTTATGAGTGTGGAATTAAATATTAGCTACATTTTGTTCTTTTTCTTTCTAACTTTGAGGATAATCAGAGCTATTAGATTTGACAGAAGAGGTGAAACATTACAACAATATACACTAGTCCTGCTTGTGTTCACCTGTTTTAACAAATACAGAGCCACCCTTTGGAATAATTTTTACAAATCTGCAGACTTCTAAAAAGTTACAATGAACTGCCACAGGCTTGGGATTCCACAGGAGCACTTACAGACTACCAACCTCCAGGGTCAGCAGCCAGAAAGCAGCTGTTCTCTCTCCTCCCAAAAATACATGCATAACAGGACAGTTTTTAGAACATGTTTACTTTTCTTCTCCACACATCCTAAGGGGGAGTTGATACCATTCTTTTTCCTTTTCATCACAAATACAGATACAAGACAATTATGTATCTGATTTTTCAGGACATTTATTCTGTACACAAATAACGTGTTAAAAGCTGAAGAAAATGGAGTATTTTTAGCATTTCCCTGAAGCTAAATATCTTCTAAATTAACATGAAAGCACAGGTATTCTACTCCTCTACTTAACAGTTCACATAGAGTAAATTGAGGGCCTTGGAATAACAAGCTTTTTCTGCCACAAAACATTTCCCTTGAAAAGCTTCCATAGTATGAACAGGCTTTGCTGTTGTATATTCTAGGACCAGGCCTTCTCCCATTTCAGTTTTAATAAGTTTGGTATTGACCACTTTACCAGCATTGCTAAAATGAGTACTGAGTCTTACTACAGCTTCAGAGGGAAGGTTAGGAACTCTGGCCTGCAGGTCTGTTGTTGCCTCCTGGCCGAAGTTGAGCACCATCATGAAGACTCTGTCCAGCCCATCCAGCTCCCTGACGTACACGAACACGTTACTGTCATTCCAGACGTGGCACATCCACCCTCGGTTCATGGGGAGCTCCTCGTTCCGCAGCTGAGTCAGCGCTCTGTACAGAGCCAGGCTTGAGTTGGACCAGGAGCTCTGCATCTGCAAGAGTCAGCACCAGCAGGGTCAGCTCCTGGCTCTGCAGGGAGGAAACACAGCTCCCTTCTCACACCCACCCAGGCTGCTGGGAACGTGCCTGTCGGAATTCCGTGCTGACAGTTATCCCTCTTCAAATCTGTCTGCAAATTTCACTGAAAATCTGCTTTTTCTGTGCGCTTCTTGGCACGTGTGGAGTGGCAGTCACAGAGTTTATTGAGCATAACATTTCCCCAGCACTAAAGCGATTGCTTCCTCCCCCAGCTTCCTTTCAGTGCTGTTGATTCAGGAGAAAGCCACAGCCATTCAAAGCTTGACACTGAATCTTTTTCATTGAGTCCAGTCTACTGCAGTCACTGGGTTTATTTCATGCTTTATATTTCTGCTATCTTAGCTTTTTTTTTTCTGCCTTCAATTTTGGGCAGCACTGTAGGTCAGCAAAATCTGTTTGATTCACTGCTCTACTTATGTTAGAGTCAGTCTATGTCAAGTTCTTGTTACAAAACCAGTGCTTTCTATAGCAATAGAAATGGGGGAAAAGAGACCAGTTTTCAATTTAATATCAAAAGGATTAAAAGGATGTTAAAGAGCCAAATTGCAGCATCAACATCATAATTGTAGTTACTCTGCTTAAATGAATATAGATGAAGTAGGCTCCTTGTTGTGCAAGGATTTCCTTTTCTAATAAAACTTGTGAGGATTCAGTGCCTTTTTTTTTCCCTTGAGTTTCTTCCTGCTACCAATGCTCGCTACTACAAGGAAGCCAGAGCAAAATAGATACATTAAAATAATGAAAATATTTTGAGACCATTAGTTTGTTACACATGTAGATACCTACTTCCACATTTACACTTTGGTAGTCGGAGTTAACCGGTAACCAGCTGCTGTTGCCTTCAGTAAAACCAGCATTAACTTTTCCATCCCACTGCATGGGGGATTTCTCTGGGAGGGTTGCCTAGAAAATAGAAGTGGTGATTAGCATATTAAAAATTATTATTTGAATAGCATGTTCTCACCTCTCCTAAATTATCTCTCTTTCAGTATTGCTTTCTTTGGTTTAAGTTAAAAATAATGAGGATGTAATTGTGGTCCAAATCTAAGGAGAAAATGAACCAAGACAGTTCCTGAAATGCAGGGGAGGGGATCATCTCAGATACAGCATTGCTGGGTAAAACGTGGAATTCCCAAATGACTCTTACTGGAGTTGCCATCCTTTGCAACAGATGGTTGAATAAAAGTTTACTGATGACAGCCAAGATATTCTGATAAATATCTAGACATGCAGAGAGTGAATATGTGAGGTAATGAGTCCTTAGAAGAGATGTCATTAAAATAACAGTAAACAACAAGTAATTGCTGTTCAGTGTCTGTTATTTTCTAAGTATTGCACTTTTCACCCCAGAACTCTACAAGCTTACATTTGCAAGGGGTACAATTTCGACAGGACTGTTTGTGTTAGAAAGGTAAAATTATTATTTCCAAATGCAAAACTATTGAAAACTGGCTTTTAGCTGATTAAAAAGTGTCGATGTAGAAAAAGTCTGAAGTTCTCATTTTGAAGAATTCAGAAAAATTCTGAAAAAGCTTCTTCATTGTTACTGAAGAGCTGCCAAAAGATCTGACACTTAAATTTAATGATATAAGAGGGCATAAAATATTTTGCACATACTTTGAGTGTTTGTTTTCCATGAAAACTGTTTTTCATATAAAGGACACTTTTCAATACAATCTGTCAGAGCAGCAGCCTAACAAAAGAAATTGTCACTTTGCTTTGTGACATTATAAATAATGGGTTTCTCCTTTTTAGCATATTCTGAAAAGCAGGGAAAAAAATCCTAAGTTTTCAACACTGGTAACACTGCCTCTCATCTTTACCTCTTTCAATGTCTCCTGAAGTGTTTGAAATGCTGGGACTAAAGCCTGTATAATCCTGAGCAAATACTCTCCATTTTCCTAAGACACCCATTAATCAGGGAGCCTTCCTCTCCAGCCTGGATGAAGGGTGGGTTTGCATTTGTTCCAAAGCTCTGAGCCACAGGGTAGCCACTAAAAGAGTGAACCCTGAGGAGCTCAGGGTGAGCCACTTTTCTTAAGAGAATCACTCTGTCAGCAGTAATCAGCAGCAGCAAGAAAATGCAGGAGATACTTTGACCTAGGGTTTTCTCAGAGGAAATGAGATTTCCTTTTAAATCAGAGAATCGCTTCCCCATATCTGAATCAGACAAATCTGGAGATGATCCTGTGCTTTAAGTACTTCTTTCCCTTTGATACAAAGCTAGCCAATGCCATGTCTAACATTGCCAGCAGCTGCCTCATTCCCTAACAGGTTTTCCACAGGAAAAGCAGCATCTGCCATAGGACCACGTTCTCATGGTGCTCAAATACAGTCAGGAGAGGCAGAGGTGAGCTGCTCCCTTTTGGCACAGACTATGCATGATGACCGAAAGCCACTTCTGCTTGCCACCAGGTAGCCTGCCCTTCATGCAGATCCCTTTTTCTGAGCTTGGGCACACTCATGACAGCCATGGCTGGGACAGAATCAGAAACATGATTTCCTTTAAATAACAGCCAGGAAATAATGGACTCTGGCACGATGATGAGGGCACTTCCATGGGAGGAAGGAGATGGCTCTGTTATCTTCCCTCATGTGTCTGCAGCACAGCTCTCCTAACCCCTGGCCAGGCCCAGAGCTGGCACGTGCTGTTCCTTCTGCTGAAGCACCATTGCTGGAAACCATGCAAGACTGATCCAGAGAAAGATAGAAATCAGCATCCATAACTGAAGTCTACCAGTTCAGACACACATCCAGGCCTTGGTTCTTGTCTCTGGCCTGGCCATTTCCACATGCTGTACAGAGGTTTGCCATGAGGAACATGGAAAACCATTTAAGCAGTGAGAACGACTGTGTTTGGTTAGCGAAACAAAAGTTCTTGTGTTTTTGAGTGTTCTGTTACTTGGAACTAAACAACAGCAGGACCAGAGTTTACATGCTCTTCACTTACATTTTCTGATGCAATGTTCTCCATGCCTATTTCTTCACCATAGTAAGTTACAGGAGTGCCAGGGAGGGTTAAAAGCAGCATGTTCATGACATTGATGTACTCCTTCCCAATCCGAGTTGAAATCCGATCAGCATTAGGACTTCCAACCTGAAGAAAATGTCATTCTGTTAAACATAGATTATAAAATTTCATGCTTATGTGAAATTGATTAACTAATTTAACAAGGTAGTAAATGTTTTGGGTTTTTTTCTTTCCCTTCCAGGGCTCTGAGGTACCTTGATGCCATTACAAACTTCTGTTCCAAAAAATTTAATACACAGAAGTCCTGCCAGCAGCACATGAGGCAGAAGTGAGGAAGAGATGACAAATAACAACTGTCCCTGCTTACAGTTCTCTGCTATTTTCTCTGCTGTGTGAGGACTGCTCTGCTTGCTTTAAAAAGATCCTTTGCACATTCCAAACATGCTTCCTAGGAAAAAGAGGAGCAATGTTTTAAGTTAACTGCTCTCCACTGCCTGCTCTTCTCTGCCCTAGCCCTGGGCGGGTTCCAGAATCCATTGCAGTGAGTCAGTTTATGGTAAAAGATAATTATCCCAATTCCATTCTCACTGGTGGTTTAGCTATTGGAGACACTGAGGGAGAGGCATGATCATAAATTCCCTTCTGTCATCCTTGCAAGGGGAGTGGAAGGGCAGCAGAGCTGGACAGTGTCAAGGACTCCAACCACAGCAGCTGAGAGTTTTCACAAGCTCAGCCACGGGCCCAGGCTGCTGCTGATCCCACTGAAATCAGTGTGTGTGTGGTTTCTGTCCCCTACAGGAACAAGCCCTTCCTATGAGAGTTGGTCTAGAACTCTTACTGCCCAGTTTGGCCATTTTCCTGCAGGCATGTTTTTCATCCACGAGTTGACAGCTTCAGAAACACTGTTGCCTGATAGATTTTTCATGTTAATTAGGTTGAAATTGAAGGGAAAATCTGCTTCTTGGATAAAAGTCGTTCCATAATACATCATTGTTGCTTCAATATCTTCCTTTTCATCATCATCAGAACCCATAAATCTAAAAAGAAGTACACAAATAGCTTTTTTGGCTCATTTTTGGTTACACAGAACACAATAAAGCTAGAAATGGTTGGACACAGAGCATTAAGAATTATGGTCACTTCCCCCTCCCCATCGAAAAAAGATTAATACAGATAAATGGTAAGGCAGACAAGGAATCAAGGAGCAGTACTCCTTGGAAATTGCTGGAGAAAAATCTACAGGAGTCAACACAATGCTAAAGTATCTGACTGAGGTTTTATCTTTTTGAATCCATGTCCACACACTCCATTCCAGCAATTTCCATGATTTCCTTCACAGAAGAGGACCTGAAGGTCCCTCAAGCTGACCACGAGTCCCTGCAGGCGGCTCAGGGCATCCTGGGCTGCTTTAGGGGAGCGCTGCCAGAAGTGAGGACAGTAATCCTTCCCTTAGTCTGCCACTAGGGCCATTAGGGACTGAAACATCTCCCCAGGAGGAAAGGCTGGGGCTGATTAGCCTGGGGAAGGGAAGCCCCAGGGGGATCTCATCCATGTACTGAAGGGAGGGTGCAGTGGTGACAGAGCCAGGCTCTTTTCAGTGGTGCCCAAAGCCAGGGCCAGAGGCAATGGGCACAAACTGAAACACAGGACAGGTGCTTCCCTATGAACATCAGGAAACTCCCACCAGTCAGGGTGGCTGAGCCCTGGCACTGGCTTTTCAGGGAGGATGTAGAGTCTCCATTACTGGAAATGTTCAAAAGCCATCTGGACAAGTTCCTGGACAACTGGCTCCAGGTGGCCCTAAAAACCAGGGGGTTTGGATCAGAGAACCTCAGGAGGTCCTTTCCAAATTCAACCTTTCTGTGATTTTAACACTCTCTGACTGTGTGTCTCACTTCAACTGCACCATTAAAACTAAAGAATAAATCAGTCACAGGGTTGATAAATTAGTACCTCTGACTAAAATGTTTTCTTTTTCTGCTCTACCCTTACACAGTCCACAGATGGAGCAGAGCTAACAGGGCCAATTCCTTTCTGCTTACACTGGGGAAGAGACAGTACAGCCTCTGCACTGGAGGATTTGCATTTCTGTGGTGTATTATGTTAGTAAAAAACCATTTTCTTGCTAGCAAGAGGGAGATGAATATTAGAAAGGACTGGCCAGCTGTGCTGGTTACCTGTATCTGCCAGGCTCTCTGCTGAACTCATCCATGGTGTGACGGAAGCTGCGGACGATGTCATGCAAGCCAACTTGGGTGGTGGTGTAGTCATGGTAGAGCTGGGAATAGGCTGTGATACTCTCCTTAAAGCAGGGTATAGTACTTCACATTAGTTCACCAATGTTCTAGGTTTCACAGTTCTCCAAATTCTCCCCATTCTTTCCTGAGACAGTGCACCAGTCATGAATTTTTACTGAAATGAGTTCAGCATGCTAACACCAACAGCACAGAGCTGAACTGCACTTGAGGAACTCTGGAGTAGCAGAGGACTGATAATTCTGGATCCCATCCTTCAGCAGGGAAAGCCCAGCCACAGCATTAACCAACAGAGCCCATCTGGAGCAGTGAGCACAGCATGAGCTGTGGCCTCAGACCAGGCTGGAAAGATGGGCAGTGCCTTGACAGAGTAACACAACATCATCACCACCTTGGAGCTGGCCAGCTGCCTGTGACTCCCAGCTCCACAGGAGAACAGTCTCATGGTGCTGGCACTACCTGGCAATAACATCAAGTTCACTATCAGAGCAAAAGCAAGTAACATAAACAACAGTGAATGTGTTTAGTCACCTCTCATTGCCACACATGGCCTATACCAGTGGTTTTTAGTTATGCTCCCGTTCTTACTGGGGCTTCCTGGTGGTGAGTGCTCTTTGTGCAGAGTGCCTGGGACCCACCCACCTCCCAAGGCTGACCTGATTTTCCTACAGCCACAATTAAGACCCAAAAGAGTCAAAGCAGGCACTCTTGCCTCCATAGGAAAAGCAGGAAAGAAAGCAAAGACAGAACATAAACATTACTTCATTCTGAGACTTGTTCACTGGAGGCTCATCCCGGAGATGTGTTGCTTCTAAGAGAAATTTAACAGTGCCAAAACTAAGTCCATCAACTCCTTTGCCGAGCCAAAATTTGATAATATCCTAGATAAAAGCAAAAATTGAAAAGTCTGAGTAAGCCCACTCCATTTAAAATAGTATACTGTTCAAAAGAAAACTAAACTTGTAAGGGGGTGTTAATACATAACAATTCATTTTTTGATTTGTACTTCAAATTTTTCTAGAAGCTAAAGTGAATCATGTTGACCTAAGGTCAAATTAATAGCTAAATAAAGTATATCTTACTATTTCATTCATACAAAAAAAAAAAAAAAGACTGGTCTCTAACTTCTCCCATAATTCAGGAGACCAAAGCCAGGGCATGACTCACTAAAAGCAGTTTCTAATCTCGTCCCTCAACACAACTGGGCTCATACTAAGTGATGTTGTTGATGAACACTCATGTCATGGGTGCACAAAATTAGAACACATTGATTCAAATATGCAGGAATATGTTGTTCTGCACAAACCTTGTGCCACCAATTTTCTTTTACAAAATAGAGCTCTTAAAACATTTGTTCTTTCTTACTTGACTGATGTAATTTTGAAAATTTTTTTCAGACTTATTTGTTGATTCTCAGGAATATAAGAAATTATTATCTAACAATTACAAATGCTATTAATTTGAAATTTCACTATCAAATTCCAATGTTAGTCACTATTAGTAAAACTATATCCTACTTCACTAACTATATTAGTACAGTTTTAATTGCCCCAGTTTTAACAAAGTTCAGTCCCTCCTGAGTGGTTTCTGCAAATGTCCTTTCAGTTGTAATACTTGTCTTCATCAGAGGAAAAAATAAATTTTTATATATATTTTAAAAAGTCTATTGACTTGCCTTTTTAAAACATATGAAGTACACTTGTCTGAACAGGCTGGAGTAGAATTAGTGCACACTTAAGCTGTACAGATTTTTGTTTGGCAAATAAAGACTGCCTCACTGAGCTGCACTTTCTCATAGCACCATTCTGAAAGCAGCAGCTCTCAATACGGTGTCTGTCCAATACTGAATCTACCCAAAAATATCCATGCTTAGACCTGTGCTCAGCACAAAAGCAAACCCGGGTATCAGCACTGCAAACACCAAGCACTGATGTGTCTTTCACTGGCACCAATCCACATCTATTTACACATGAAAGCCACAACATGCTGGTTGCTGAGTGTGGCTGTTCTTGGGTGCCCTTGTGCTGCTGAACCAAAGGCTTGAGCTTCTCTGCAGAAGTCCATTTGCTTCCTGCTCAGTTCCCCTAACCTTCTGGAACAGGATTTTGAATTAAAACACTAGATAAAAATTATTCTTTAACATGATGTTCATACACATTTACCAAAGGTTGATGTTACCAGGACAAACTACCCAGCTCTCATGTTTTGTTTTGGTTTTTTTTTCTTTTTTTAATAGGAAATGCAGCATCTCTTTGCTACTGGAGTTTCGATAGTTCTCATTGTGTGCCTGAGTTAAAAGGTGTGACCAGAAGCGTTTTGTCTCTTCAAGCTCACGCAGTACCCCGTGGTGAGGGGAGAGACCCGCAGAGGCCATCCCAGGACTGGGCAGCTGTGAAGACCAGCGCCCAAGGAATGCACCACAATTCAACAGAACAAAGTGACAAACGCTTACAGATTCAATTAAACACATGACGTGGCTGTACTACCTGCTGAGGGATAACTTAGAGAAAGGGGAAAAAGAAGCAGCAGCTGTCCTGCTCCCCATATTTTAATGAATTCCACACTGTCAGCAAGGAAACAGTGCAAACAGGAATGAGATTCCATCGGAGCAGCACCATCAGCACCACTCTCACTGTGAAAACACTCATGTTCCCCCTAGAAAGTCATCAGACACGTGGACAGATCGAAACTCACTATCTCCCCCTTATCAACAAGCCCAGGCATTCCTTGTAATTCAAATCAGCATTGCCTCTGCTTTCCCGAAAATGCAAACATCTCTCTGCTAAACAAGGGCCATCCCTCCATTTGACTGGCTAATTAACAACTCTTTGTATCAACAGAGATAAAAAACTTCTCTGCACTTGCCGTTCTACACAGGCTTCAGTGCAAGAGCTGCTCTGGGTTGGCTCAGCACCTGGGGGTTCCACACTTACATGGATTTCTTGTTGGACAGCAGCGTTGCGAAAATTTAAGTCTGGCTGTTCCTTCCCAAACTGATGGAAATAGCATTGTTTTCTCACATCGTCAAAATGCCAGCTGGAATTCCCAAAGACGCTCACCTGCTCAGCCAAGGGAGAGAGACAATCAGAACTACTAACTTAACAAACATTTCCTCCTGTGCACATCCTGTGCAACTGTGTGGCATTACAAGCACAGAATAAAGCACAAAATGCCTAATCAGTGGGCCACATTTTGAACAGATTTTGGTAGTTATGATTTTCATTTCTTTTTGCCACCAGCTGCTCTCCCTTTAGTTGTGCTTTACCACACCTATTTCTTGTTCAGTATTATAGATTTTGAAAATTTTTTATTAAGTTAACTTTCATTAGGAAATATCTGGAATAGAGGGGAAAACATGCGTGGGAACATTTATTTTGGAATTACTTCTCCTAAAACTTATTTAAAATAGCTTTGGTTAACTTAGAGCTTTCTACAATTTAGTATTATCCCTTTCAAGGGCCAACAACAGTCAGCAAGTTAAAAATGTTAAACTTTATCACCATCTCTCTAATAAAAGATTCCAAAAGCTAAGATAGTTCTTAAAACTCTTAAGTTTAAAGAGAAACTATACAAATTGGTACAAAGTATTAATTCCACCTGGAGTTTTTAGAATATACAAGTTCCTAATCATGCACCCACTGGTTCTAATCTAAAATAAATCTATTTGAAGTTGGCAACACACTTTCTGGCCTGAGCACTTTCCAGAAAAAAGGACAATAGCCAAGACCACATTGTTTCGTTGTAACCAACCATGACTTCAGAATACCTGACACAGTTTCTAGAACAGAATACCCATACACAGAAGGAACAACTTGTGCCCAACCTTTTTTTTTGTGTATGTGTGTGTTTGTTTAATGAACGAAGATTTAACACTGAGGAGAAGAAACAAAAGTAATTTTTAAAATTTCACTTTAAGTAAGAACTTTTCAAGTGATCTCCCAACCTGGTTTTAATCTTAATCTGCACTAACTCAAGTAGTAACATCAGTTTGTGCCTCTCACCAGTCATTTATAACCCCGTGTACACCAGGAGAATCATGTTACAGCTGATTCTGCCCTGTGGCACCCAGCTTGGGATGTGTGTGTGTCCCTTCCCGTGTTTACCCAGTTGTTGGGAGGGATGACTGAGCCAGCAGCCTGCCTGCAGTCCTGCCAGATGTAGTAGTCCGTGTACTTCCCTGTCCGATTGCGGCTCAGCTGAAACCACCGGTGTTTGTCACTTGTGTGGTTTGGTATTAAATCCATTATCACCTTTAGCCCTTAAAAATAAAAACAAAAACATAAAAAACCCCATCAACCCTCCCCCTGCACTACAACATTACATTTAGCCTTTTAAGACAACATTCACATTTTTTCCAAATGCGGTATCAGCGGTATTTGGGCTTCTTCCACGCCAGAGGTTTGGTGAAGGACAGTGGCACAAAAACCCCACAAAAAGTACCAGACTACCAAAACAGTTAGACCTGACTGGTGTTTGCAAGTAGCTGGAACACAGCTTGGGAGGGAAAGGAGAGTGGAGAGAACAATCAGATTTCTGCAGTTATGAACCACTTTCACTACCTCTGACTTCAACATCTGTCTTGCACCTCCCAGGTGAGAAAGGCACTTCACCAGTTAGACTGAAACACACATTCTACAGTAATCACACATTCTTCATCACCCTTCCTAAATAACAGACATTTTATTGAAACCTCAAATATTTTCAGACTTGCAAACCATTTTCTGTTCAGTTCAGCAGCTGTAAGAAGAAACACCTGAGCAAACATTTGGTTTGAGGCATAAAAGCACCAAAGCAAGGATGTGAGGGCAGGAAAGAAGCATGTGTTCCCTCATGTTCAGTCAGACAGAAATGCACTCAGCTTGATCCCAGCCTTCCAGTGCCAGTAAGACAGGCCTCAGGGAGCATGGATGGCTGCCAGCCCACCACCCACAAACATCCTCCTTGCAGAGAGCATGCAGCCCCCTGTGCTGCTGCTGTAGCTCCCTGTGCCCTCTGTCCTGCTTTCAGCTCTGCCCCAGAGCCAAAGGGCAGGAGAAGGCAGCCACAGAGCTCACATGGCTGTGGAGCTGCCTTGTACCCTTTGCTGGCACCTCCATCTGCTCCTGATTAATGCCACCATGAAGGCAGTGCCAGGTGCACAACCTGAAGTCCCCATGAGTCCCCATCTTTTTATCAGAGTTACTTTGCTTGGAGGTGCAGCTTACCTTTGTCATGTATAGCTGCAATCAGATTCTCAAAATCTGTCATTGATCCAAAAATGGGATCAATGTCATAGAAGTCTTCAGCTCCATATCCAAGGTCTTTTAAAGGGGACTTAAAGAAAGAGGTGATCCAGATGGTTTTAATATTCAAATATGTAATATGGTCCAGTTTTTCTTGAATACCTATTTAAAAAGAAAAGGACATCATCTGTTCAGGAAAGACAAAAGAATTTTGTTTGTACTCTGGTCCCTTTATCTTCCTGACATGTTACTATGGTATGCAGCTACAGGAACAGTTTCTGCCCTTCACCTGCCAGTACTGTACAATGTGGCTATCACTCCTTGTTTATAAATGCACTGTCCATTTGGGTGCCGAGCCTCCCCTTTCTGCAAGGCAGCCTCAGCTCAGCTACTGATAAGTGCCATTGCTTCCTTGCTACCAGGTGCCCCATCTCCACGCATTTTTACCAGCTGATAAAACCTAGAGCATGAAGAAAACAAGAAGTAACACATCTTTCTCCCCTCTTTGTCAGTTTTAGTTTTCCTTAGGAGGAGCAGCCAGCAAACATGACCAGGTGCTCAGCACTATTCATCCTCCTGATTTTGTGGAGGTGTCTGACTCTGGCAGCAGCTGTGCTTGCTCTCAGCACCATCTCTCGACTTCCTTTCTAATTCCACACTTAGACTTGACTTGAGCAAACAGCTCCTGGATTTATTCACAACCATGTGAGCTGCTATTAACGTTGCCTGACAACTTCTCTTACTTCTCTCCATTAAGGTGGCTTTGTCCATTGGACTGTACTTTTCCACTGGTTTTCCTTTTCATGTAACACATACACACACAACTGTTACACAGCAAGAATGAAACCTGACTCACCTTTCAGATCCCCATTCCCATCCATGTTGCTGTCCCTGAAGGAGCGAGGATAGATCTGATAAATAGGACTGGCCTGCCACCAGTCCAGGCACTTTGGAGAGAGAGCAATGATGGCAATTGTAGCACACACCAGCACAATGGCACCAGCAATCACCAGCCAGAAGAGGATCTCCCTGGTGACTCTGTAGCGGGCCTGGCTGGAGAACTGCAGCAAGACCTCCTTTGGCATCCCAGCATAAGGCTTCAGCACTGTCTCCTCCACAGCCCCCAGGTCCACATCAACACTGCACGTCTTTGGCGTTTCTTCTTGGCTACCGGTGGCCGTTTCCTTGTCCTCAAAATCCTCATTTTGAACAAATCCATTGTTCTGCACGCCTCCCTTCTCACTCAGCTCCATAGGTAAGCTCCTAGCTTCCACCTCAGCTGTTTTACTTGACAGTTCTTGTCCTGGAGACTCTGGCCACAGCACCTTTGTTCAGTGAAATGGGAAACAGTGCAATTAGCTATTCTGGGTTGATAAACAATCCTGACCAACTGGTCAAAGTTCAAAAAGGGACAAAAAGGGCAAAGTGCTCACGATGTTCTGCATATTCGGCATCTTCAGCAAGATAACAAAATGCTAGGAGAAAGAGCAGTCCTCCTGGGAAGCAAAGCCTATTGTTGGTACCAGCTGAGCACAGTTATGTTTACTCTTGCTCTCTCCACACTTCTCTTCCTTTTGACAGCAAGGGGAAATTCAGGTTTTACCAGTATCAGATCTAGTAAATATGCAGCTTTCCAGACTGGTCATAGTCTCCCCTGCCTGAAGCAATCTGAATTATGGATAGTTTAAACACAGACAGCAAGAGACTGAAGTGTTGGCAACACTGGCCCGAATGCAACAACACAAACTAAGAAGAAAAGAGTCAAAGGCTGGTTGTGCATCTTTTTCACGGTTTAACTCAGCTGCCCCAGCCCACGCCCAAGCCTAAGCACTACCAATGCTGTGGTACATACCGATCCTGCGACTCACAGCCGGGTATGTAGGGTGGATGGCTACACCCAGAGCCAGCCCCGGGGCAGGACAGGATAGCTCTGCACAAGCAAAACTCAGGAGAAACACCCACTGCCCACTATTAAAATCAATCCCTCCATTAAAAGAAAAAAAAAATTAAAAATTTAAGAAAAAAAAAGTAAGAAGTAAAAAAGGGGGGAAAATAAATGTGTATAAGAATCTTTCCCTTCTCCCTCTCTCCTCCCTTTTCTGCTACTCTAGGCAGGAAAAAGCACTGCCCAAAGTCTGCACAAACATGCACATCTGTACACATCTGTGTGCCCTAAGCCTCAGGTGCCTAAAGTCAACATCAAGATATCCCTTTCCACCAGCACCCCCTGCCCAGCATACCAAAGGACACACCAAGCAATACAGATTTGCCAAGGAGCTGCCTTATCACCTGTAAAACTCCTACCTCTGACCATAGGGTCAGGGTCCTAAGGAAACTCTTGGACAGTGCAGTGGAAACAAGGTTGGGTTGTGACTCAAAAGAAGTGTTTATTATGTTTGCCTCAAGCCATGAGAGAAGTTTATAAACTATGGACTGTAAGAAGTCCAGCATGCAATATTCAAATGACTCAAAAAAGTGTTATCTCTTCAGTAGCTGAGCTAACAACAGGTACTGGATGCCAACAGATTTAATCCTTCCTCTTCCTAGCAGCAGTACCTGGCAATGTCAGGCAGCTGTGGGAGCATCTGAGATAACAGCTGTAGTGCCAGTGCCTGTAATCCAGTAGTGCCAGGAGATCCAGAAGTGGGAAATGATTTGACACTGTTTCACTCCCATTTAATGACTCTACAGTCTTAACATCATCATATCAGTAAGCTGTAAAAGTTTCCAGAGAGGCACTGTGCACTCAGGGCGCGCACTTGTATTCAACACAATGCCAGTGACTCCTCACTCCATTTCAATTGTTTAATTTCAGTGTCTTAACTTGTAATGAAAGTACAAAATGTGCAAATACAGAATTTTTGTTAGACTGCATGAAATACACCTCAAGACCTGGTACTCCCCAGCTTGCTTTTTCCCCCAAACTCAGAGGAGTTTTAAAGCATAAGTATCTTCCTGCATACACAAAAGCTCCCTCAGTCACACAAGCACAGCAAAGCAAGTCAGAGGCAAGAGCAAATGGTGGCCAAAACACAGTCATCTGCCACAGATGCATGGGTCTCATAAGCCGAGGAGACTCAGGACAGTCAGGTATAGAGTATTACACCCACCAGTACTGCTGGAATCAAAAAGAGGAAACTAGCTCCAAGTATTTCAGCTCCATCAGTAAGCCAATAAACTCTCTGATGATTATTGCCTGCATGGACAAGTTTATTTGATCTAAGGACACAGCTAGCTTACCCTTGACACACATACTTTTACAACTGCTAAAGGCCAACTGAGCATCTCACTGGTCAGAAGCTGCCACTGCTCTCTGTGTACGTGGTTGGGAATCCATTCCCTTCCCCTTATTCGAGCATCTTGCAGGAGCAGCCTGCTTTGTGAATCCTGCTGTGCCAAAGCCGGGCCTTCAAAAGAGCCCCTCATGTCCTAATGTAATCCCCAAGTAACATTAAAGGCTTATTTATACCTTAAGTAGGGCAGATCGGGTCTTAATTGCCAAGCGTCTGGCTGAAAAGAGGAGGATTATAGTGCTCTGATAGATAAATGCAGCAGGCGGGAGGCGGAGGCCATGGATAGATGAATCCAGATGAGTCCATGTGGCTGCAGGGCACACAAAGCTCCAGCGACACGATCACCGTGAGGGTGAAACAGAGCATGAGCCACGCTGGAATGACCAAGTGGCAGTGCTGGTGAGCACACAATCTGTAGAGCCGGGCTGAGCGGGCTCACAGCCGCACCACAGGCGCATCCACACCAGCTCTGCCCTGCTCCACGAGAAGAGCTGAAGCGCAAGCAGGTACCAGCGGAACACAGGTACACTTAGGGTAGACACCCGGGCCTTAAATCCTAAAAATTCCTCCTGAAAGCTTGGAGAAAATATACAGCCAAGGAGCTTAAAATAGGTCTGGATGATCAGCTACCAAAGACCCAGGAGAACGAACACAAGAATCTGGGATTGTCTCCTGTATGATTTTCCTCACAGACTAAAAATAAAACCACACAGGTATTTTGTTGTTATTACAGACCTACTTTTTTTCCTCTCCTCATCCTGAGGAGTTGCTTGCCTTAAAATTATTTGATAAAGGAATAACGTAAACTTCATCTAAGAAAGGCAGATCACCAACAATTCCCACTGAGCTTTAACTTTTTCCTTTTAAAACATATTTTATGTATGCAGGCATTATGCATCTGGCTTGCTCTCAAGCAATTCTGAAATGGTTCCCTCCTGAGCTATTTTACAGTTTAGCGGGAGTAACTAGCCAGTGTAACTGTGTTAGCAGAATCCACTGAAAGGCATTAAGTAGTAAAGAAAACACTTCATATTCTGTGCCAGTTACTCTGTTTACCTCGGGGTTAGGTAGGGAAACAAAACCAATCTGTATGTGGGCAGTAATAGCTGCTATCTCCACACAGATTGCCATGGTTATTTCTGTAAGATGGAGGGGTTAATTTTCACAAGTATTTCTTATATATAATTATTTAGATGCACTGACTGACTTAGTCATCTACTGTTTGATGCTCTACAAATGCCAAGTAGCTTGCCAGTTCCTCAATACCACACATATTACGCCGAAAACCATGCAGAGGGGTGATTATGCACCCTAACGGGCTAAGTGTAGGAAGACATTTATTGTTAAAAAGTTCTCTTGCTTTATGCTTTTTCATTAAAAGGTTTGTTACCACTGGAACTCTTCTGACATAATGCACTTTAAATATAACCTCATTATTTACAGAACCAGGGCCAGATTTACAGGTATGTAAAAAAGGCAGACACCTCAGCAGCAGCTTTACCTCCCTCAGCAGCTCCCACAAGACTGATGGATAATCTGACCTTTAAAGCTACCTTTCACTCAGCACTAAGAAAATCCTCCCTTGACCTGGAGGGCAGCTGTCAAGAGAAAGAAGGACTAGGGAAACAAGTTTCTGACACAGTATCTTTTACCAGGAGCATGTCTGAAGTTTCTGCCATCAGCCTGAAGTCCTGGAGGTGGAAAAACGTAATTGCACAGGACACCTGTGACAGGCTTTGGTGGGGGTTTTGTTACTTTTTTAATGCTCTTAGTCCACTATGGACAATGTGATTAAAGGTTCATGTCATTATAAATGCTGTAATTAGCTACTGCTTGGCTCAGGGGATATTTCAGGGGTAGGTTTCAGGGGAAGGAGGCACCCAGCCCCTGCCCCCCAAGGCTGATCTGCAAGGCTGGCCTCTCCCACTATTTTTAATGAAAACAATTAACCACTAATTCCTGCTGTTATCATAGCTGCAAGAACAAGAGCACGCAGCACTGACTCCGGGATGCTTCCCCCAGAGGGTCAAACACTACATACAACCCACAGAAAAACAAACTCGAGGTTTGTTGCTTCTCCAGGAGGACGCTCACTCACATAAACTGTGCTCATTTCAATTTATACTCTTATCTTTGTGGCATTCATCTGCCCCATTTCTGTCCTAGAGGATGACAACTTCCAAAGGATTTTCTTTTCCAACCTACTCCTCAAACCTTTCCCAGCAAGAGACCCAGACCTTGCTCTTCCCCTTGAACGAGCTGGAGAGGTTCAGCATGGTACTAAATCATGGCAGCCTGTTGAAGTTGGGATGGCTGTAACTCAAGAGTGACCTTGTGTTACTGAAACAGCCCTGAAGTGGGAGATCTGCAATACAGACAGCACAGCCAGGCAGCCCAACAGGAAGCCAAGGAGAAGCTCAAAAAATAAAATGGCATTGCACTACATCATCACCACACCCATCCTTTGGGCTACCAAAAAGACAGCACCCCACATGCTGCATCTGCCTTTGCCAAGGCTTATCTCTGAGAACAATTCAAATCCACTGAACAGGAATCTGAGGAGCAGGTTTTGGTCTGCTGAGCACAAAGCACTTCTTCTTATGGAAGAATGAAGGATTTACTGGAAGGGGTTGTCAGGAACCAGCTGTCACTACATGAGCACACCTACTGCCACACTATACAAGATGCACAGCTTTTCACAGTGCCTCAGCTTCCCCACCTGCAGGAATCACACACACAGTATCAAAGATATATTTGGTTCTCCATATAAATTTACTCCTTTTCCCTTGTCTCTCTCAGTGCATCATGATAGGCCCTCCTGCAAACAATTTGCTTTTTCACAGGTATCAAATCAGTGGCAGGTATTCCATGATGAAATGTTCTCAGGTTGTGCTCCTGTGAAATAATTTCCTCCTGGAAGAGCTCAGTTCATATCAAAAATCTCCAGTCAGTACAGAAAGCTTCACTCTCCAGTACTGAATTGCACCCCAAGGTTCTTACAATGGCTGCTTCTGAC